TTTTTTTTCTTAATCTGGCCTGCGGCTCTGGGGACGTGTTAAGGAACTGCTGTCTATCGCAGCATCTGCGATATGAGCAACAAGTTGGCCGGTTTCATCTTGGCCCTGGCCAGCAGGCATAAGCCATATCACTTGTTGCTCATGCTTATTACTGACCAAGTTATGCTACAACAATGTGTCATGTTAGCCCGTTGGCGACTGCATCTTGGCAATATGTTGGCTGCCCCTCGCCACAATTTTCACACCTCCCACAACGGGGGGCTGTGGCGCAAAGGGGCAGACTCACTCCAGCCGCTGCAGGCGCCAGGCGAACCAAAACAGCTGGCCAGCCTGCCAGTTGACCACATCAGCCTTCACATTGATCTTAACTAAGTTGAGCTCTCTCACTTATGTGCGCTATACCCATTGAAAATGGGCAAATGGGGTATGTGGCAGTTGTGCATATGGTCTGTCAACTTTCTGTTTTTAAATATATCTCTAGGCTTGTAAGGATTAGAGATTTCGATTTTAGCATTAAGCAGACAAATTTTGAGTTTTAATAAATAGCAACTAGGTTTTTTAAAATCGATAAATATCGTTTCTCAGTTTCTTTCTGTTTTTGAGTATTTTGAGCACAAGCAGAAAATTTGATTTAACCGAACCCGAACAAAAACAAAGGCGACTTTGGACCAGCCGCACAGAAAACGAGAGGCTCCATCGCCGTCCTATGATTGTTGTTTGGTTAGTGATTGAATACATAGTTGTATTACATTTTAGAGCTCTCGCTCTAAAGTATATTAAAATATTTATCGATTTTTTGGAAAAGTCGGTACCGGGTATCTTCCGGTCGTGCATTCTGCGCTTGGAGGCCTCTTGTTCTCTTTGCGCTTGTCTCTGTCCAGCCACGGCTAGCATCTTCATCTTTATTAATCGCTACATTTATTTGATTATCTTACCCGGAGACGGCTCCTTGGCTGGGGAGTCGACTACTCGATGAGATTTATGCCTTGGCCGTGTTATTTACGCGCTAATCATGCAACACTTTTCATTTTGACACGTTCGGGCGGCTCTCATAAAAGCACCGCCAGCGGTAATTATGTAAATTTTCAGTTGCTGTTGTTGTTATTGTTGTTTCCTTACATTGACCATGGCCGGGAGCAAGCATTTTATGATCTATGCTGGCCGATTCGTGCTTAGAAATGAACACAAATTGATAAAAGCAACAACAGCTCCGATCGAGCAACGAGTTTCGAACACTATTTTTATAGCCCAGCATCGATCGATCGTCTCCATTCGCGATCGACCCCTTTGTTTTCACTGGCGAACACGTCGCTAACATAAATTAATCAGTCAGGAGTTGGAGTTGGGGACCGAGACGAAGACGACAACGGAGCCGATGATGAGGCGTAAGGATCCGCAGACCGCGGGTAACGCTCTGAAATTCCAGGGAAAATGCGCCGCGTGTTTTGACACCAAACATCCGCCCAAAGCCGCACTCGCATTAGCTTGCGTTAAGGGGCTGCAGTTGGCGGGAAGGGGAGCGGGATGTAAATATCGGGCAGGGTACCTGCTTGGTGGCGGGGTTGGGGGCTACGCTCCACGTTGAGATGTTGATCTTGTTAGCCGTTGCCGCTCATGCGCATGACTGCAATTTAAGCGCCATAAATTGTGTGTTCTCAACGTTCTCCCATGTCGTTGGCAATGTGTCAAAGTTGTTATGCCAATGATTATATAGGGTATTCAAAATCGGGTATATTATTAGCTATAGAATTTATGCAATTTATCTATTGGTAATTGTACTAAAAGAACTAATTTTTAATATTATTAAATCTCTACTCACACTCTCCAGGCAAGAAATTTATATATTGGTTCTTGTAATCATAATTTGCTCCGCAGACAATTCCAATTTCTATCTCTACAATTAACCTAAAATTTGCTTTTGGCTCAGCTGTTGGCATGAACATATTAAGCTTCTATTTATGAATCCGGATTTCCACATTCATTTGCCAAAGGCTCGAAATTCGCCACACTAGAGGAAATACCGTATTGAGTCTTAATATTAATGGAAATGTAGAGTATTTGATAAAATATTGTTGGCCATGTAGATACTATAATACTGCATATAAATTGTGTTATTAAACTACTTTTCAAAAATGTACATTCCTTTAAGACTACATTCCAAGTCCTACGGTTGGACAACATATTCAAGACTAATCTATTATGATATACCATAGTCCCACAGTTTTTCTCCCTATTTTAAACGAAACAATTAAATTTATAAGAAATCTCTTCACCTAACTCGAAGTAGCACTTGACTTTAAATTATTTTTCAAGTTGATTAATTGCCATATTATTTATTTATTATTTTAATTTTCACATAGTTTTCGATGGTCAGCTGGCATTATCTTCTGTAAAATACTTTCTGGATCTCGCTAGAAGTTGTGCCTGAAAATGTTGCATAAACTAAGTGCAGCTGATTTACGGAAATTCAATTTCTTACCATGAAAACGTTTTTCCATTGCACGCAAACATTTCGGCCAATCGCTGTAGTTATAAATATAGAAAGCAATTAGAAGTGGGCCGTGAAAAGATGTGGAGCTCAGACAAGTCCTCAAATGGTTAAAAAGTTTTTTGTAAAAATAAGTCATTTTTCTACTATAAAAATTTAGTCGTAGCTTAAAATTTGTAATGGCATTTAACGCCCAGGCTAACCTAAAGAAATAAATACAATTTTTGTAGGGTATATGCAAATCGATCTGTCTTCATCGAACTAGCCTATTGCCGGCCAGCACTTTCATTAATAAGATACTGCATTAGATGACTTAATAGGATGTATTGAGCTAATAGTGTAGAAGCACTGCGGGGGATTAAAGATAACTGCTGGGCTCTTTGCCCTTGACATATGCAAATGGTAAAACTAATAAAACAATCCTTCAAACAGCATAGACGACAGGCATAAATGAGTTTATACGGCCACAACAATATTTTATATAATGCAATAACATTTACTTACACGTTAATTATGGTCAGCCCATATACTATGTAAACTGTATAGATAGTAAAATCAGAACCAGCAGCTGTTGTCGTATGTGTAAATGACAAGCTAGTCGACAGTTGGTAATGAATTAATCAGCAAGAGCTAGGTTCAGAGTTCTGATCTATGCTGCGATCAGTGATCGTAGATGGCGGTTTGTAGATATTATCGATCAGAAATCATTCGCTGGCATTTAATTATACATAGACACACATTATTCTAAGTGGCATTACTGACAAATGATAATTGGTATTTGCATGACAATTAGAAACGCTCGGCGATCTCACTCTCTTTGAACAAGATCAGTCGAGTTAAGCCAGGTTAACCAAAGCTGGGCTCAGGCGCCAGGCAGCTTTGAAATGTTGCCCCTGGCGTACCGAGACTAATGCAATTGGCTACGTCTTGCACTTCCTGCATATTTGATACGCCTGAACAGGCAGTGGCCGCGATCATGATCATCAACAACAGTAAAGCCACATGATCGCTGGCAAGATTAGTGACAAATATCTCTCTAAATGCCCGAATAAAAGAAGAAGAAAAAATACCAATGCGATTGTATTTCATGAACTTGACATTGAAAACAACAGCCTCGCGACTGTCAATCAGCTTAAGAGCGCCTGATCATTATCAACGATTCTTTGCGATCCGAAATGAAATCAATTTTGGTCTTAAGTGCCTGTTTAATTGTTTTTGCTGCTGTTGCTGCTGCTGTTGTTATTCCAGCAGTGCGTATCCAAACATTGAGTTTATTTTAAGGGCTTGCACCCAAGCGGTGCTCATGATTCACGTCGGGTGGGGGCAGGGGCCAAGCGTATCCAATTGCAATGCTGACAAGATCACGTGCAAAGTACAACTTAGCTTAGCTGTCAATCAAATGTTATATATGATCAGTTTCCGCAGAGGCATACCCTCACGCATTTGATCTATTCAAAGGTTAAAGGGTTGTTGAACTGAAATGCGACTAATCAGTGGAGCTCTGAATTTAGATGTCAGAGAGGGTTGACAGATTGATGCATTAGTAGTTAATTAGTGGTTAATCTTCTTAGCTCTACTAAAGGTACAAGGAATACTGTTTATTATTCTTAATAGCATTTCAGTGGCCTTCGGAAAAGTAATTTTCACATCCCTGAGTTTCGAAATAGGTTCCTTATTGTTCAAGATGACGATTACTGCAGGTCATTCTTATATAGTTATGTTAACATGCGTGTGATGGGTTTTTCGCTTTCACCTAATATATAGAGAGCTGTTTATATAGACCTAATAAAATCATAAAGAAATTCTCATTAGGTTTTGAAAGCCATTTAATGCGTTATTTCTTTTTTTTTTATTTTTTTATTTATAGTTTGAAAGATCTTCAGCATTAGCTTAGCATTTCTTAACATAGGCTGTTAAGCTCGCTGATAACAGAGTGTTAAAAAACTTGACTCTCAGCTGATATCAGTGGAAACTCTACAGCTCTTTAACTTTCTTAAAACTTCACGAGAGTTTATAACATAGTCCGTTAATTTCGCAATTAATAGACTGTGGAAAGGTTGCCTCTCAGCTGATATAGTAGTTGGAAACTCTACAGCTCTTTAACATTCTCCGAACATCTTACGACGGCTCATAACATTGACTGTTAAGCTTACAAATAACAGGTTGGTAAAGAATTTAGCACTCTCTGATTATTTAGGATCGCCTCAGTACTTAAACATACTGACTAATTGTACATTTTTTGCTGGTCATATATTAAAGTTAGTTCCTCTTTCCACCGTCGCTTTGTGCCCATTGCCCATTGGTATTTGGTTGCCAACATATCGCTATTGTTAGCTAATCATTTCTAGATAAGCACATGATAATGCCAAAAAAAATACAAAAGCACAAAGCCAAAATGAATACTTGCGACTATCTAAAACAAATTTTGGCCGGCAAGTGTTTCCGATGCCTTTCACCAAATGATTGAATGCTAGAATGTGTGAGTCATTTAATAAATAAAATGCCTAAACGCTAAGACTTAAGGCCAAAATATAAACAATTAATGTCCATTGCGATGGTCGGTCCACTCTTTCCCCAACGCCTGGTCTCTGGCCTGTTGACGCAGCACCTTGCCGCTGCCCGTCTTGGGCAATTCGTTCAAAAAGAACACACCACAGTGAAGCTGCTTGTGGGTAACCACCAGCCGCTTGGCAACATATTCCACAATATCCATTTCGGTGAGCCGACTGCCGGGCACCTTAACAACTGCGGCAGCAGCGGGATCACCGTCCACCTCGTTCCACAGGCCAAAGACACACGCCTCAATTACATCCGGCAGCTCGGCTATGACCTGCTCCACTTCGTAGGGGCAATATTGGGCGCCATGGAAGCGCAACATGTCCCGTTTGCGTTCCACAATGTGCAAGAAGTTCTCGTTGTCAAAGTAGCCCATGTCGCCGGTATGGAACCAGCCCTGATAGTCCTGCATGCGTTTTGATTCATTCGGATTGCCATAATAGCCATTCCATACCTTGCCATTGTGCACTAGAATCTCACCCGTTTCGCCATGGCCCAAGCTGCGACCGGCGTCGTCCAGTATTTTCACCTTAACGCCGGGCACAATTCTGCCCACTGATGAGGGCTTGGCCACGCCCATATTTGCCGCCACACCGCCACATTCGGTCAAGGCATAGCCGTAGGAGATTTGACCATTCAGCAGATATTCCTGTAACTTTAACAGATTGGCCACATAGCAATTGCCGCCCCCAATGCTGATAAAGCGCACGCTGGCCAATCTCTGTTTGTTGAGCGTGGGCGCTTTCAGCAGCGAGGCGGCCTGCTGAGGCGCCAGGGTCAGCAGCGTGACCTTATACTTCTCGATCAGCTGCAGCAAATATTCGGGCGTATAGGCGCGATCGGTGATGACGCGCGTCGAGCCATGGCAGCAGCTGAAGAGCATGTTGAACATACCCGGCGCCCAGTCGATCGTGCTGAACGAGAGCAGCACATCCTGGCCGGTGACAAAGCTGCAGAGAAGGAGTATCAATTAGTATCTAGCTGCTAGGAAATTTGGTATTCAGAACGCTTACCCAAAATCGAACAGGCAAGCGGAGTTCGAAATACAAACCGCTTTGGGCAAACCCGTCGTGCCAGAGGTGCAGAGTATAGCCACGGTTTGATCGCCGCCTAGCATTAGTGGCTCCGGTCTGTAAGCATAGAATAAGGTTTAACAACGTATTTGGAATAAAAGAAATCAACTACATTCCAAAAAAGAAGTGTGCTTCAGTCAAGGAAAACAATTCTTGAAATAGTTTTTAGCACAAACTTCTACAGATCGTAGCAAATACTTAAAAATGTTATATAACTTATATTATCTAATTGAAATAGAGTTTGAATAGCTTTCGTAATGGAGAAAAATATGAATAATAGTGATGTGTAATTATCTCTTGCTTTGATCTGAATTTGGGTATATTTGGATTTTTCTTTGGGTTGTTTAATATTTACTTGAATGAATTTCAATGTTTTTAAAGAACTTTTCATTTAAAAAAGACAAAAATAAATTGAAATATGCTTCGCTTAAAAAAAAGTCAAATCCTCATATTTATTAAAGTGGATCCAGAATTTAAAAATATGTTTTGGAAAATGGAAAAATGCATATTTTTCATGAATAAATTAAGCCCAGTTTCTTAAAATCTTGTACATTTTATATATAATATAATATAGCATTTTATTTATTTCTTCTCGAGTATTTTGATGAAAAACCACTTTTCAAAAATATTTTCTGACCAACAAATTTCCAAAAAAAAATACATTGTTATAGGAGACAAAATGTCTTCATGTTTTCTAGAAATTTCTGTTTTTTATAAACTGAAGACACATTTTTTTTTTGTTGTTTTATGTGTGTATTTACTTACATATAGTACATTTCCTGTTTGGTAGGCTCCAGGAGATCCTCAATGCGCGGCAGTTGGATTCGATGATCCTTGAGCGTATAAACGGGCGCCTTTAGCATTTTGGCAATGGCGCTGAGTCTGTCATAGACGGTGCCATCGCAAAAAATGATGCGCGGTCGGGTGATGCAAAACAAATGCTTGAAGGTGGCCTCATCGTGCCAGGGGCTGACAGCATGAAAGGGAGTGCCATTGAGGAGACAGCCCAGCACTACTGGCATCAGATATGTGGTGTTGGTGCCCGCAATGCCAACGACATCGTCCTGTCGCAGATGCATCGCCTTCAGTTGCTGGGCGATGCGTATGGCAAAGCTTATGGCCTCGCCATTGGTCAAGGCAGTGCCCTCCGTGTCGGAAATCTGCAAGTGAAAGAATTTAAGTTGATTATGTTCGTCTCTTTTTAATCGTTAGCCCCACCTGACATAGGCTCGCCGGATGATTGCGCATAAAGGCAAAAAGTATTTTGCCAATGGAGCAATCGGCGTCAAAGAAATGCGCCGGCCTTGGTCCACTCCAAATTTTTGTATATTTATCGAACTGCGTGCTGGGGCCGCCCTCCATGTTCGTTGATAACTGATAAGAGCCGTCGATTTGATGTGAGGGTGTCCGAGCGTCGCGCAAGCCGTTTAGCAACTGCCGACCGTTGCGTAGGCAACACCTGGGCAACCGCCATCCTATCAAACGGGTAACAAACGTCACCTAGCAAAAAGCTCAAGATATAAGCAATGTTGGCGATAAGCCGAAAAGCTGTCCAGCTGATAGCAAGGGCCATTAATTTCGTGATATGTTAGCCTTTCGTTGGTTTGGTTAAAATTATCTTTGCTCAACTGATGATGTTTATGATAAAAATATAGTTGAAATGAATGTAATCAAATATTCTACAGTGTCTACTTAAAATAATTACTGGATACAATTTATTTGATCATTTATAATTTAATTAAAAATTATTTCTGCACAAACTCTGTGATTGCAATTTTTTGTTGCCTTAAAAAGCATTTTGTTCTATGCGATAAAGCAGTGAACGTAAGCAGGAACATAAGCAGTTTATCGAGCAGTGCGTACTTGCTGCTCAAAGTTCCAGAAAATACCAACGTCTTTTAATTGCGCTTTTAGACAGAAAAATAAAAATTGTATATGCAAAACACTTCCGCTCACTTAAATAGCGCCCCTTTTCTTGAAATGTGAAAATGCATATAGCTCACAGATTAGTGCCTTTATATATCAATTTCTAATCTAATAAATAAACTTAAATTTTTTCGAATACTAAAAAGATCTAATTAGGGAATTCGGCGGACTTTTAATAGAGTATCCCGATTAACTTGCGTAGAAAACGCACAACAGTTTTTAAATTTTGAATAGCGCTGCCTTTTTCATCTTCACTTTTCGATTAGTTTTTAAAGCGACGTGTACACTAACCTGAAGACTTCTTTGGTTGATATTATTAAAATTAGCCCGAAACGGGACATGCAATACCATTATACAATGCGTCAAGTGCGGCCATTCTATACACGAAAATGCAAATAAAAATTAAAGGAAATCGAAAAGCCATAAGCAATTTGGTACGAAATTCGCATGGCTATGGAAATAATATGAAAGGACCGAAATCCTGCATAGTTTCATTGGTTGATAAAAAAGCTATTTTGAGGTGTGCATCGAACTAGCAAGACGCTGCTGCTAAAATAAAAGAAACATCGGATGTTGTTGCCAGTTTTTCTACAGTTGAATGGGTTATTTCGAAGGCAGGAGACCTAAAACATCAAAAACTAAAAAAAAAAACGAGGAAGCCTATCTTCGGCACGCCGAAGATCTAATACCCTTGCAGACCAAACCTTTTCATAATGCTCATAGTGCTTTGCCCGTATCTAAGAAGCATAGGGAAAGAAGTTAATGTCGAGTTTGTTCAAGACATCTTCACAAACAAAAAAGGTTTTTAATCGAAAACCTAGTTTTCGGCCGATCGTTCCTATGGCAGATATATGATATAGTATTCCGATGTAAATAAGATTTTGAAAAAATGAAAGCGTTAAATGCCGTGTTTAATCAAAATTTCTTGAATGACAAAAAAGTTTTACATACAACAACTTAATTTTCGACGGATCGTTCTTATGGCAGCTATATGATAAATTTTTGTAAATAATTAGAGCTAGAGTCACCAAACTTGACATATAGCTTCTATAATAGAATATATATATGCATTTGATGTTGGAAGAAGAGGGTTCAGGGTATCCCCTAGTGGGGAGCTCCCGACTAGAACCTCTTACTTGTTTTACCTCCCGACTAGAACCTCTTACTTGTTTATCTTAATGTAATCTTATTGTTAATTGTTTTTTTGTATCTTGGTGTTAGTGCTCTGAAGACGGTTTGCCCATGTGCAACCGAAATATCTTGGAAGGAAATATTAAATAAAATTGTTTTAATGTCTGCCCGGACCTCGAGCCAGCCAACAAATATTATGAATATGGAAAGGTCACTAAAACCATCAATAAACTTCCACTTCATTAATGAAATAAATACTGTTTCAATTGACGCAGAAATATTTATGTGAAGCCTGCCCCACAAACAATTTGGTTGAAATTATTTAAATCAAATATACTACAGCGTTTACTTTTAAATATATATAATGAAAACAATTTATTAACTCATTTAATTGAAAATATTTCTGCATAAGCTTTAATATTTGCAATTTTTTTTTCCTTTTTGCTGAAAGAGCATTTTGGTCTATGCGATTAAGCAGTGTCTGCAAGCAGTAATAACAAGCAGTTTCCAAAGTAGTACTTGCTGTTTATAGTTCCAGAAATTTTCAACGCGCCTTTATGGCGCTTGGAGCACAGAAATTGAACACAGCAATGAGAAAAATTATATTCAATCATTAATCTAACGAATTTTCTGAAAAATTTCTTGAAGAATTTGATTAATTATTTCAATTATCTTAGTTATTGCATTAGTTATGCATATTATTTCTTATAATAAATGTTTTATTTATACTATCAGGAAGTGGCTTAGATATCCGTTAATATCTCTCAAAAAGTTCGGAAAAACATTTCTTTGTGGCCTGACGATTGGTTTTTTCATTGCGATTATGCTTCAATTCGTCCACTATACTGGACCTCCATGCAAATGCCTATTCTGTATTTGAATGTGCTTCTGCACATAGTCCACGACATCCTGAGCCTCAATTCTATCTGTTATCTGGAAGTTGACATTTTTGATTTCGTATAGGTAGTACGTAAAGTTTTCATACTCGAGCATATCTTTCTTGCGATCTATAATGTAGAAAAAACTAGCCGTCGTCCTTTAACCTCAAGTCGCCAGTATGCATCTACCGCTCTGAATCAAGGACTATTCTCGTCTCTGCTGTTTTCTATAAAATGATCAATATCCCAATTAATGGACGCTGCTCTTCCCACCTCACTAAAAGAGTATGCCAAATGAAGACAGTCGCCCTGCAGATGGCTTCAAATACGTTGCTGCACATCCAGAAAGCAATTGTTACCCCATCGGTCCGTATCGGTATTTCTCAAATTCCGAGCAGTTAACCATGATTGCCAAGTGGGAAATCGCCTGGAAAACCTATGTGACTTTGTGTTCCTCAAGGTCACTCAGAAAACAAGCAGGGCCAAAGGGTTTATCGCATATAATAGACAAGATGGAATCGTCATCAGGAGTCCTGTTATTCAGTCCAAGACACTCAGCGTAAATTGAATATCAACGTATGTGGGTTCGTCTACAAGGGTATTCGATTTTCGGCGTACCGAAAAAACACAGTTTATATTAATAGGACAACCCTTCTAAATTATATAAAAATAGTTTATGTTGAACAAATTTTTGTTAGTCGGTTTATTCATTGAAATATCTAACCATAGTTTTATAGAGTTTAAATTTACTTTAACAGATTTCTGTCATTTTCAATACTGTAATTTATGTTGAATGTTCGCAATTCGATTTATTACAAGTCCAACGATCTCTTATATTTGGCTATACGCATCGAGTTCTAATAAAGGAACTAGTTAGCTTTATTTACCGATGACACGAAAGTGAATCTGGCAGCATTTTAAGGTGGTTTTAACTTTATGATAACAGTAGCTCGTCAATGTCAACTCGATAGTATATTAAACTTAAAGTTAACGCAGTTATTTGTTGACAGATTTACCGCGATTTACCCGAAAATTAAAAGAAGTTAGCAGATTTTCTCTCATTCGCGTATATCTCCTGGCAAAATCTATCCACCTGGCAAGGACTGAACTGCTTGCAATTGGTTCAGAAAGAAGGCAGTTAAGATATCTCTATCTTCGAATTAAGTAAATGCATTTATAAAGTTTTTATTTTTTTAAATCAGTAAAAGCTGTAAGCTTGAACATTTTTTCCCAAAGTTCTAGAAAATAATTCTTTGTGGCTTGTCGATTGGTTTTACCATTGCTGCTCCGCTGCAGATAGTGCACAATGATGGCACCTACATGCAAATGCTTGTGACTGGCAGTGATATATTTCACATTGTCCACCACATCCTTGGCTTGTATATCTGTACTGATCCTCTTTACCACAGCAGCAGCCGCCTCGTTACCATTGGTATCATCCCAAATTCCAAAGACACAGACTTCTCCACACCCGTAATGTTTTTTTTTTCGATCAACTATGTGGAGAAAACAATCGTTATCCATGTAGCCCAAGTCGCCAGTGTGCATCCAATGCTCTGAGCTTCCTCGGGATTTCCATAATATTCGGCCCAATATTGGCCACTATAATCGCATATCTCTCCCACTTCGGATGGTAAGCAAAAAAGATTCATACAAACGCTTTTCGCGATTTTTCCAAACATGCGAGTGGAGTTTCCCGAAATATATTATATTAATATTTTTTCACGGTTGCCTGAAATATGAATAAACTAGCTAAGCATATGAAAAATAAATGATAAATTCCATCCTTTACTCAGTTTATTTAAATAGATGATATTTGCAGATCTTTTATTCAAGTTAAAACTTATAAATGTTTTTATTGCATTATTAAAATTTCTTAAGGTGCTCCATAAATTTCATTTCTATATTTTACTTCGAGAAAATATGCCTTTGTGGCCCTGCGATTAGTTTTGCCGTTGGCAGTACGCTTCAGGTCATCCACAATGATGGCACCTCCATGTAAATGTTTATAATTAGCAGTGCAATGCTGCTCCACATAGTCCACCACGTCTTGTGCGTGTATGTTGGATCCAATCTTCTTCACGACAGCAGCAGCGGCCTCGTCGCCGTTGAATTGATTCCAGATGCCAAACACACAGACCTCTGCCACTTCTGGCATCTGAGCAATCAATTCTTCTATTTCGTTTGGGTAATACATGATGTTCTGGTACTTGAGCATTTCCTTTTTCCGCTCCACAATGTAGAGGAAACCCTCGTCATCCATATAACCAAGATCCCCACTGTGAAACCATAGATTCGAGTCACGTATTTTGTGTGTCTCCTCGGGATTTCCATAATAACCGGCCCAATATTGACCAGAATAGACGCATATTTCACCCACTTCGTTTGGTCCCAGGGGCTGTCCCTGATCATCGAGTATCCTCAGCTTGAAGCCATCTATCAAACGGCCAGCCGAATTGGGTTTTTCATCAAAATGCCAGTTCATAGATACCATACTTCCTAACTCTGTGAAGCCATAAGCCAATCTCATGCAATCATGGCGCAAACGACTTCTTATTTTATGTTGCGCCTCCAAGGAGCATCGGCCACCTCCGTAAAAGTAGGATCGTATGCTTAGTAGGTCGGCCTGCTTGAATTCCGGGCAATTGGCAGTTAAAGCCAAGTGGGAAGGTGCCTGCATCAGCCACGTGACTTTGTGCTCGTCAATAATGCGCAGAAGACGAGCAGGGTCGAAGGCATTATCGGCTATAATTCGCTTGGTGCTATATATTCCCGAAGTGACCGTGGCTATGAGTCCGGTCACCCAGTCTAGAGTACTGTGCGTGTACTGAACGTCAGCAGTGGTCAGATGTCTAAGAAAGTTCAAGATATTTTTTACATATGACAACTATATTCTCTTACTTACGTGCTACAGTTTAGGATCCTGCGACTATTCGTGATGGTCACTGCCTTGGGTGTACCCGTAGTGCCTGAAGAGCAGAGAATGGCCAGAGTTTGATCATTTCCATGCTCCAGACGAGAGGGTTCAAAATTTGGTTTCACAGGCGTAGCCAGCACTTCCTCAATGCTAATGGATCCGATCTGATGGTTACGCATTGTAATAATCTTCACGTTTAAGTTTTTTGTGGCCAATTTCACTTTCTCATAGTCCTCACCATCGCAAAATATTAAATGCGGCTTCGTAATATCAAATAGCTTCTCAATGGTCGCCTGCTCGTAGGCGATGTTGAGTGAGTGGAAGGCAATCCCGTTAAAAAAACATGCATAGGCCACGGCAAAGATGTGCGTAGTATTTCTGGCTATGATTCCCACAATGTCCACTTGTTGCAAGCCCAAAGATCTCATAAAACTGGCCACGCGCATTGAATTCAAATGGAGCTCCTGCCGGGTCAGCACAGTATTTTCAGTGTCTGAGATCTAATCGGAAAACACAAAGCTTTTAAATAGGTTATCTTTAGATTGTGCAATACTAAGTACTTACTTGAGCTATCAGCTTCGGATGACGTCGCATTTCATGGAAAATGATGTCTCCAATGGATAGATCGGGTGCAAAATATTCACGTTCCTGCTGACCATTCCAGATTCTGCTCTCCTCATCGTAGGTGTTGTCCGGTCTGTAAATCATTGTGAATGCAACGAGTTCACTTTGTTAACTGACGACACGAAAGTTAATCTGGCAGCATTTTTATACTCGTAGATAGCGTGCTTGTAAATCGTTGATAATAATAGCTCATTCGTATTCTTTTTCAAATGCAAAACGTGTTTAACGACAAGACAGCAACTTATCAATGTGAATATATATGTAAGCACAGCATGCCTTGAATGCACTCAATTGAGTTTTATTTTAAATTGTTGAGCTAATCGTGACTCAACAACATGTTAAGCTATACTTAATGAACCAACAACGCAGTCTATTGTTGACATTGTTATTGCTACGATCTATATTTGATATAAAAAATTAGTAATACTTTTCCTCTCTACTTTGCTAGTATCGCCTGGCAAATTTATCCACTTATTAAGGATTAAACTGCTTCCAATCGGGACACGAAGCAAGCAGTTTTAGACTAAACGGTTATGGGATGATATTAACCTTTTATAAAAACTAGTTTTGTTATTAAGTTTTCTTTTAAATGTGCTTTGTTACTTGTTCTTTACTTGTAGAATATACGTTTTTGTTTGATTGTGATAATGTTATTGACGCACGCTCCAAATCGTCCACAATGATTTCAGCTGCAACAAAGTTAAAAACAAATATAAATTTTTGTTACTAAGTAGGTCTATTTTATTAAATGTTCTTCAAACTGTTCGCTATTAGCTGAGTACATTTAATTTCTATCTTTAACCTCGAGAAAATAGGCCTTTGTGGCCTGGCGATTAGTTTTGCCGTTGGCAGTACGCTTCAGGTCATCCACAATGATGGCACCTCCATGTAAATGTTTATACTTAGCAGTGCAATGCTGCTCCACATAGTCCACCACGTCTTGTGCGTGTATGCTGGATCCAATCTTCTTCACGACAGCAGCAGCGGCCTCGTCGCCGTTGAATTGATTCCAGATGCCAAACACACAGACCTCTGCCACTTCTGGCATCTGAGCAATCAATTCTTCTATTTCGTTTGGGTAATACATGATGTTCTGGTACTTGAGCATTTCCTTTTTCCGCTCCACAATGTAGAGGAAACCCTCGTCATCCATATAACCAAGATCCCCACTGTGAAACCATAGATTCGAGTCACGTATTTTGTGTGTCTCCTCGGGATTTCCATAATAACCGGCCCAATATTGACCAGAATAGACGCATATTTCACCCACTTCGTTTGGTCCCAGGGGCTGTCCCTGATCATCGAGTATCTTCAGCTTGAATCCATTCAACAGTTGTCCAACTGATTTAGGTTTCTTATCAAAGTTTAAGTTTACGGCTATAGCACTTCCCACCTCTGTAAAACCGTACATTAAGTGCATGCAATCGCGTTGCAAACGACTCCTTATTTTATGTTGCGCGTCCAAGGAGCAGTGACCACCTCCGTAAAAGTAGTCCTGTATGCTTTGCAGGTTGGATTGCTCAAATTCAGGGCAATTGGCAGACATAGCCAAGTGAGAGGGTGCCTGCATCAGCCACGTGACTTTGTGCTGCTCAATAATGCGCAGAAGACGAGCAGGGTCAAAAACATTATCGGCTATAATTCGTTTGGTGCTGTATATTCCCGAAGTGACCGTGGCTATGAGTCCGGTCACCCAATCTAGAGTACTGTGCGTGTACTGAACGTCAGCAGTGGTCAGATGTCTAAGATTGTTAAAAATATATTTAATATAATTATACTATTGGTTGAGTTGACTTACGTGGTCATGTTAAGGATCCTGCGACTATTCGAGATGGTCACTGCCTTCGGCGTACCCGTACTGCCTGAAGAGCAGAGAATGGCCAGAGTTTGATCATTTCCATGCTCCAGACGAGAGGGTTCAAAGTTTGGTTCCACAGGCGTAGCCAGCACTTCCTCAATGCTAATGGAGCCGATCTGATGGTTACGCATTGTAATAATCTTCACGCTTAAGCCTTCCGTAGCCAATTTAACTTTCTCATACTCTTCACCATCGCAAAATATTAAACGCGGCTTCGTAATATCAAAGAGCTTCTCAATAGTCGTTTTCTCATAGGTGATGTTGAGTGAGTGGAAGGCAATCCCATTGAAAAAACATGCATAGGCCACGGCGAAGATGTGCGTAGTATTTCTCGCTATGATTCCCACTATGTCCGATTGTTGCAAGCCCAAAGATCTCATATAGCTGGCCACACGCATCGAGTTTAAATGGAGCTCCTCCCTTGTCAACACAGTATTTTCAGTGTCCGAGATCTAATCGCAAAACACAAAGAAATTAAATAATTAATCTATAGATTGCGTAGCTAAGTACTTACTTGAGCTATCAGCTTTGGATGACGTCGCATTTCATGAAAAGTGAGCTCTCCAATGGAGAGATCGGGTGAAAAGTATTCACATTCATCTTTTCCACTCCAAATTTTGCGCTCCGCATCGTAGGTGCTCTCCGGCTTGTAAGACATTGTGAAAAGAACTAGTTGACTTTATTAACTGATTGACGAAAGTGAATCTGGCAGCCTTTTTATACTCTCAGATAGCGTGCATTTCAATCTTAGATAACAGTAGCTCACTCAAATTCTTTTTATTAATTGAAAAAAAAGCTCAACAGCAAACGTGTAGCCTATTAATGCAAATAAATATGTAAATATAGCATGTAATTGTAATATAGTTTTGTTGGGCTAATCGTGACTCGCCAAAAGTTTTAAACGAATTGGTAGCACAGTCTTTTGTTATAGCACTACGATTTACATGTACATCAAAAGAGGTTAGCAGTTTTACTCGCATTCTCGTAAAGCTCCCAGCAAATTTAACCGGCTGGCAAGGACTGAACTGCTTGCAATTAGGCCACTAAGCAACCAGTTTTTGATTTAATTGTTATTGGATATCTATTTCAAATTAAATATGTGTATTTTTGAAGTTTTTATTTTTTTTAATTTAGTAAATGTTTTAAGTACGCGAATTGTCACTTGTTCTTAACTTTTATAAAATAATTCTTTGTGGCTTGCCGATTGGTTTTGCCATTGGCACACCGCTGGAGATCGTCCACAATGATGGCACCTGCATGCAAATGCTTGTAACTTGCAGTGATATGCTTTTGCACATAGTCCACCACATTCTTGGCTTGTATATCTGTGCCGATCCTCTTGACCACAGCAGCAGCCGCCTCGTCACCATTGGTATCATCCCAAATTCCAAAGACGCAGACTTCTGCCACACCTGGCATCTTGGAGATGACCTCTTCGATTTCATGGGGATAGTACATTATATTCTGGTACTTTAGCATGTCTTTTTTTCGATCAACAATGTAGAGAAAACAATCGTCATCCATGTAACCCAAGTCGCCAGTGTGCATCCACAGCTCTGAGTCGCATATATTGTGAGTTTCCTCGGGATTTCCATAGTAGCCGGCCCAATATTGGCCACTATAAACGCATATCTCTCCCACTTCATTCGGTCCGACAGCCTCTCCCTGTTCGTTCAATATCTTAAGCTTATAACCGCCTCCCAAACGACCTACGGAATTGGGCTTTTCGTCAAAGTTCCAGTTCATGGCTACCATGCTGCCCGCCTCCGTGAATCCGTACACCAAATGAAGGCAGTCGTTCCGCAGATGCCTTCGTAGGCGTTGCTGTACCTCCAAAGAGCAACGACTTCCTCCATACAGATAGAAGCGAATACTCTGCAGATTGGCTTTTTCGAACTCCGCGCAATTAACCAACATCGCCATGTGCGAAGGTGCCTGTAATATCCACGTGACTTTGTGCTCCTCAATGATTCGCAGAAAATCCACAAGATCCAAGGGTTTTGTACTTATAATTCGTTTCGTGCTGTACACTCCTGAACTTATTGCTGTAAGCAATCCCGTCACCCAATCTAGAGAGCTCAGTGAAAACTGAACGTCATCGGTAGTCAAGTAACTTAAAGAGGTTCGGGTTATTAAAAAAAAAAAAATATGGATGGAAATTTTGGCATTACTTGGTGCTGTTTAAGATCTTGCGACTGTTCGTAATAGTCACTGCTTTGGGGATGCCCGTGGTGCCTGAAGAGCAGAGAATGGCCAGTGTCTGATTAATTCCCTGCTCAAGGCGAGAGGGTTCAAAGTTCGCTTCTACAGGCGTATCCAGCACTTCCTCAATGCTAATGGATCCGATCTGATGGTTACGCATTGTAATAATCTTCACGTTTAACTTTTCTGTGACCAATTTCACTTTCTCATAGTCTTCACCATCGCAAAATATTAAACGCGGCTTCGTAATATCAAATAGCTTTTCAATGGTCGCCTGCTCGTAGAAGATGTTAAGAGAGTGGAAGGCAATTCCATTGAAAAAACATGCATAGGCCACGGCGCAGATGTGCGTAGTATTTCTCGCTATGATTCCCACAATGTCGGATTGCAGCAAGCCCAAAGATCTCATATAGCTGGCAACTCGCATCGGTTTTAAATGGATCTCCTCCCTTGTCAACACAGTATTTTCAGAGACCGAGATCTGTTTAGAATATACCGTTCTCAGTATTATGTAATGTATGAACTGGGCACCTGATTAGATACTTGAGCTATGAGCTTCGGATGCCGCCGCATCTCATGGAAGATGATTGCACCAATCGATTGTTCAGGTGCAAAGTAGGCTCGATCATCTTGTCCACTCCAGATTCTACGCCCTGAATCATAGCTGCTTTCTGGTTTGTAAGGCATTGTAAACGTAACGAGTCAATTTTATTTAATACTGAGCCAAAGTCGTAACTAGTTGCATTTTATACTCGTGAAGCTTAGATAACAAGTGCAGCGCTCTCCGAATCATATTTTCTCAGTAGCTTGTAGAGATCTGAGATCTGTCAGTACATAGAAAACATATAGTATATATTTATGTAGTATACCCACGTATTCTCTCGACTGTCAATTATTTTACAAGCTGAGTAATTGAAACTGTTTAGCCAATCATGAGTCGTTAACGTTTAGCGAAGTCTCGTGTAAATGCTGTTAGAGTATTTATTATTAAAAATTTCAACATAATAAAATGGGTGTGATTGAGAATCTGTCTGTCTGTTATATATTTTGTCATTAAATAATATAAGATCATTCCATTTAGCTTTCCATTATCTTTCTCTAAAATTTTCCAAAATTATCATACTAAAGCCCAAGCATACACCGATTCATATTTATCATACCTACAATTAAAGCAAGAATATTGTTTGCGTGCTGAAACTTGTTGACCTTGAGGATGGTTAAAATCACATACATTTGCATATCATTGTTTTTTGTAGGGTACGCATTACACTATCAACTGGTGTAAACTTTGCATGCTAGCTCGTTGATAACCGTCATCGCGATGATGAAATCAGAATTGTAAGGCAAAAACAGCGATATGAAGATATGTCCAATCTTTTTGCTGTATCATTATTTTTACTGCTTCCATGTGGTCTTATTTGTAACTTTCTTAAGATTCTCACGAGTTCTATTACGTAGTTATATGACAATGTACTTTGGCTCACTTTGTTACACTCTTATCTTAACTTATTTCGTGTGCCATTTAGATAAAAAATAATATTCAGATATATATTTGTTTTGCTTGCCTTAAAGTCTTGTTTAAAATAATATGCGCATAGTTCCATATCGTGGAGTCCAAAAAGGTTTGGCGGCATTCGATCCGGTGTTTTTATAGTGTGTATATGTATTTTATTTTTATAGTAATATGTATTTCCTTCAGTAAATCAATGGACAATCTGTAGTGTTGAAAGCTGTAACACAAAGGGGCTACTGCGCATAGAAGTTGAAAGACAGATAGACGGAATTAGCTATATCGTGTCGGAAATTGGCGTGGTGAGAAACATATAGATCTTATGTGCTGTTTGGAGATCTGTTAGACATTTCATGGTAAAATTAACATACCCTCTATATGATTATAAAACAGGATAATTTAATCTAACCTGGACATGATATTCCATTGATTTAAATAATTATTTATTTAATACACATTCCATTATACTGTTAATGCATTTATTGATTTTGTATAGTGTTTTTACTAGTCCAGCAGCCTAGATTGCATCACAATAAGTGCTTGCAACCTTATCAACATTTTGGGAACAACCTATTATGAATCAGTTATCTCTGTTTTCCCTGCTGCTATTAGATAAGCGGCCTTCACGGCCTGACGATTGACCTTGCCATTAGCGCTCTTCGCCAGCTGGTGCACAATCTGTGCACCCCCATTCAGCTGTTTATGGTTAACACTGATAAGCTCGGCCACAAATTGGACCACCTGAGCGGAGTGCAGTTGACTACCCGGCCTGGGCACCACAGATGCAGCGGCTGCATCGCCTTCGGTCTCATTCCAAATGCCAAAGACGCACACCTCGGCGACTTGGGGCATTTGGGCGATGATCTCCTCGATCTCATGTGGATAGTACATCATGCCTAGATACTTGAGCATATCCTTTTTGCGCTCCACAATGTGCAGATAGTTATCCTCATCGAAGTAGCCCAAATCGCCAGTGTGGATCCAGCCCTCCTTGTCCTTCAACTCAGCTGTGGCCAGGCAGTTGCCATAATAGCCACTCCAGTGCTGTCCATTGTGGCAATAGAGTTCCCCATGTTCATTTGGACCCACTGTCTCTGATGACCGGTTCACCACGCGCATGCGTACGTTGGCCACGAGAAGACCCACAGATTTGGGCTTCGTGTGAATGCTGGAGTTATAGGAGATGCAGGCGCCCAGCTCCGTCATGCCGTAGGCATTGCGCAGGATGTCCTCGCCGCGCAGATGTGACTGCATCTTGTGGAGAGTTGCGACAAGTGTGTGGCCACCAGCGAAGAGCAAATGCCGCAAACTACACAGCTGTTTCGCACTTATCCCTGGACAATTGGCAAGCATAGCGATATGTGAGGCAGCCAGCACCGCCCAGCTGATGCTCTGCTGCTCGCACATGGCCAGAAAGTGTGTGGGACTGAAAACCTCCATTGAAATGAGACGCACTGTGCCATAGACTCCAGCCGTAACCAGGGTGATTAAACCCGTAAGCCAGTCCAGAGTGCTCGGCGCATATTGTATGTCATTGGGGCTTAGATAGCTAGAGAAATATTAACTATACAGATGAATCACAAATAGCAATAGGAAGTTCTAATATAGAATGTCCGTGCATACATTTCTAGTGCTTCTTATCTCAAACCTAGACTTCCTATTCTTTACTACTTTCTTGTGGGTGTATTGTATTTAAAGAAAATATCCTACCTATGACTCTCGAATATCTGGCGACTATTTGATATGGTGACCGCTTTGGGGGTGCCTGTTGTGCCCGAGGAGCAGAGTATGGCCATGATGCGATCGATACCACGTTGAAACTGGGCTGGTCTGTAATCCTCCGGTATGGTTGCTTGCAACAGCTCCTGGATGCTCATGACTCCCGCCATACGTCCATGCATGATTATAATTTTAGTACCCAATGCTGTTGCAATTTTTCGAAGCTTTTCATAATCTTGTGCATCACAGCAGATAATCCTCGGCTTGGTTATACCAAACAGGTTTAGCATTGTGTGCTCCTCCAGATTCGGATTGATGGCATGAAAAGGTGTTCCATTGAACAGACAGCCATAGGCGAGTGCAGCCAAATGTGTGCTATTTCTGGCTACCAGTCCCACAATATCCGTTTCCTTGCGATATCCCTCCGCCTCTAGATAGACACTCACCTTGGCCCCATTGTGCAGCATCTGGGCGCGAGTGAGACGCGTATTTTCGCTATGCGATATCTGAAAGATGCGTTGTGGTTCGCTCTGCAGCTGCCTGAATATGATTTGACCAATGGTCAGATCGTCATTGTAAAAGCTCTGCTCACGGGCGCCGGACCAGATTTTGAGCTCGGCATTGTAGCTAGTCGTTGGATTGGCGTTGAGGTCCAGCATTCTGAGGGAACTGATACAGCTGGATTCATGGCTGCGACTATTTAAAGGTCAGCGAAAATTACAGCAAACAGCTGGACATGCAATTGATATGAAAGACACGCGATCTTCCCTACGATTATCGGAACGATCGAGCCAAAATTAGTCGGCAATTTAGCGCTTCAAGTGTCTGTAACATACTCACCCTCACTCTTTGTCTATAACTATCTCTACTAGCCGCCGTATGACACGTCTTTTTCGGTGTGTGCGATAAAATGTTTGCTATATAGTACAGCTTAGTTCTTGTGATAGCGTATGCAACTGGCAGTGATGCTGTTAGTTTTAAACCCTATAAAAGTAAATTTAAGATTAAAAATGATCTAAAAAGTATTCAAATATCAGTTCCAAAATCTCAATTCATTTCCAAAGATTGTCAAGATTGCGTGAACTGCTTGCTGGTAAGTGTTTTAACCAAGCAGTTGCATTTTCAAGACAGTTCTCTAACTGTTAAGTAACAAAAGTTTTTTTCTCGATAACTCTTGTGTTCTTTGCTCACCAGCAAGCTGTAAACAGCTGTATAAACCGTGCGCAACAACTGTTAGGTTAACAGTCATAATGCTTTTTACTGCTTTGTGCCTTTTTTTGTGAAAATGTTCCTATTAGAACTGTTTTGCTGTTTAAAGAGCAGCAAAACGATAAAAGCTCATAAATTTCAAACATAACATCACCAATAATGTTAAATTGACAGCTATTAATAATAAAAATAAATAAAAAGTTAAAATAAAATAAAAGATATGTTTTGGGCATACGAAATAAAATTCGGTGTATTTTTTCCAAAATTATTACAATGTACACTTCAAATCCATTTTGCGCTGGTAAGATTTGTTCTAAAGAAGGGGCAAAACCGTTCTAAATAATAAATTATAAATAAAAAAAATTTTATCAATATGTAATAAATATATATAAATAATTAAATTGACAGGGCCACGGGACAAATGCTGTTATTATGTTAAAATAGAAACAAGATTTTGTTAAATGTACATTTTAAATTTGGGTTTTTATTTAAACATGCCATGTTGTGTATTTTGTTGTTTTAATTTTTTTGTTAGTGTTTTTTTTTTTGTTTTTTCATTTATAAACATTTCACAAATATTTTCATTATTCTGAGGGGTCTTACACATTTGCTTGGGAGTTTTTTTTTTTGTTTTCGTTTTATTTCGGGTTGATGGCAATACAACAATTATTTCAACTATTTTTTATAATTATTTGACTAAGTTTTTACTTATGCATTATATTCTCATCTTCTGAATCATTTTGTTTCTTTCCGTTTTATTTGCGGTTTTTCGTTTCTTGGCGTTTGGATTTGGGCATGTTTTTACCTTCATTGGGCTACACTACAGCAAATTGTTCTTAAATTTTTACTTTAAACGCGTTAAGAGTGTGTGAATGATTTCATTTCATGCTCTATGCTAATTTTGAATGCGTGTGTTTGTGTGTGTGTCCACTTAGCTCTATAAAGTAAGGGGTTTTGCGATGTTTATTGATCTTTGATTTTAAATGATTCGTATTTACATTTAGTATATATGTACGTTTGTTCTTCATCTTAGAAATGATAATTGGAGTTTTTCTTTTCTTGCTTTGATTGTTAGAATTGGGTCGGCATAATGGCCACCGATTTTGTTTGAAGATATGTGTTATGATTTATTATTTGTTATCATTATTTATTTTTTCAAATTGTGCTAGTTGAATTTCTTACGTCTTGGCAAGTGATGTCAATAGAATTGTGCGATCCAATTGAGTTGAGAATGTTTTTGTGTTTGATTGAAATAGAATGCAACTGGGATTGGCGATATTTTGCTTTTTAAAGTAATATTAGTAATGTTTGATTACTAGTCTATGTGAATGCGTTATACAACACTGGTTTCTGGTTGCGACTTAACTTAACTACACATAATGTTTACTTAAGTGCTACATTTTGCTCGTTAAATGTTAAATTTTGCATGTCACTTGAAAACTTGTAAGTCTTTTTATTTTTAGAACGCATCTAGAAGTTGTGCACTTGTTAAACCTAACTGTATAACATTTACATGTATCATATAATGTTTAAACTATTTACATCGAAATATTGGACTGCCGCGTCGCGCCTAAATAATAATTGACCAAATTGTTGAACGGCAACTAAAGGCAGCACACAACCTATGCCATGTTTCGAGAGCCGAAACGTTTTGATCTAGTACTAAGCTACTTAGACACAAATTGGAATAGCTGGGCCAATTATTTCGATCGATATAGCACACTCGGCTAACTGTAATGTTTTACTTACTACGTCTCTTTAAATATTCTCTTTGTTATCGGTTTTTCTTTTCAATATTTTTCCCAGTGTTAGTTACTTAGTTACGTTTACATCAACATTAATCAACACACATGAAACAACATACCCAACATTTGGCTGCTACGAGGCCTTCATCTGAGCGCCCGAACTATCCATCCACTACATATTTGCTCACATTTAAAACCCTGTATGTTTAATAGCTATAGCTTCATATACAATAAAACCATATTCTACTTAATTTTGTTCGCACATCCTTTTTTTAATGTTTGTTTATTAGCTATTTTACTTAAGTTTTTGGTGAAATTTGTTTCTTGTTTGGCACGAATTTTACAACATTTATTTCATTTCCTCTTAAGGTTTACTTAGTGACAATATAATTATGTATGTGGGTGCTTGTTTATCATTGGTTTTTGATTTGTTTTTTATTTTTGTATTTTGTTTTTTGTTTCTGCGGCTTACCTTTATTATAAATATTTTTGTATAATTTTTTATTGTAAAAGAAAGCGAAAATATGATTGAAAGCATAACATTATAAACTATTTGAGTAATTTAAAAAAATAAACAAGCTGAATAAAAATATTTAAAATTTTCAAAATATTAGTTGCTTTTAATAGGGGTTTTTTTTAATATATTATTTTGGTTCTTGTTTTGCTATGTAGAATTCAGTTTTGAGCTAGATCGAAGCTTAGTATGTTAAGATTTGGTGTTTCGAAATGTTGATGCATAGTTTTTGTTAAGTTACGCGGTGTTATATATATATATATATAAATGTATTATTGGGGTTTCGAAATGCGGAAATTAGTTGGTACAACTGGGGAGACGGGGCAGTTAGCCAACTCCTGTTAACTGCAGGACTCACTCCTCATACAAAAGGCACTTAATTAAAACAAAAAGCAATTTTGTTTACCAAAAATTAGGCAAATGCCACGCCTTCAACTAATTGTGGGCCTAGGTTTCTATTAATTGTTGATTTTGTTACTGGTTTATTTATTTTGTTTAAACTATTTGTATTGTCTGTTAATTGGTTTATGGTTTATTATTAATCGTAATTACTAATTATTAAACTACTTAAAGAAAATAGCTAGCTAATGGAGCTTTACATAAAAAAAAACAATTTTTAAATTGTTCTAAATTTAGTGTTAGTTTTGCTTGTGCTCTCATGCGCTGTTCCCAATAAATAACTGAATTAAAATTGTATACTAATTTATACTATATATATAAAAAAACTAAATGTTTATTTTTACGCATAATTAAGGGGTTTAGCATTAAATCCTGAAAGATATGGCTAATAACTACATGAACCAATTTGGCGCTAATTTAATTTAACATGAAGTCGAAAACAAGCAAAAAAATACTTGATAATTATATGGAATTGTTCTATTTTTTAAGCATATCGATAGGAATAAAAACTTGCAATACCCACCAGTTCCAGTTATAATTTACTTTACTTTGTGCCAATTAAATATTTTGTAAAAAATATAATAAACATGAGAGAACTGTTTGCTTCGGTGGCGCCGAAGTTCACATGCCCTTGCAGTTGTATGTCATATATTATTTATATTATTATAAGGTGTGGCCTAAATGTAGAACTTGTCAAACCTAAAGCTACAGTTTCTATGGTAGCTATATGTTATATAAATTCGATGCGATGGGTTCCGAAGTTTATAAACTTCAGCAGCGAAAAACAAACATCTGTTTCAAGTTCGAGTCACATAAATTTACGTTAGTTTTGAACAGAATGAGAGGCAGATGGACATGACATTTATTAAGAGTATTTTCTGCCAGGGTATCAAAAATTAGAAAAAACTCACTTACTGTGTGTGTGTGTGTGCTTGAAAAATTAATTTAATAAACAAAACATTGAATCATGTTCTGTATTTTATTTGTTTATCTTCTATTTCAATTTTTAATTCGATTGTGAACATAATAATTGAATTTGCCTAGGATTTGTTGAGTTCGTTATTGTTGCTTATTTATGCCTAAACTTAAATTTATCTACACGCATTGTTTCGTTTCATGTTTTTCATTTTAGAATTGTGTATAAACTATCTGGCTTAAAACTTATTGACAATATGACAATATTTACAAACGTCGTGCGACTTGGTTTTCTTTTTTTTTTTTGTTTTACATCTAACTTAGCGCACTTTTAAGTACAAATTAATACTAATTAGTTTCGAACTAAACTAATCGAGTTACGAAGCAAACGTATCTGGTTTAAAGCCTAAAAATAATTTATTAAATTTATAACAATTTTGAACATTTAAATCAAATGAATACAAATGAGCTGCAAGCTTTTTATCAAATCGTCACCAAATCGCCTCGTTTTCGTCTTTTTAAAATACAGCATTTTAGTAGTTTTCTTTTTTTTTCTTTGATTTCTATACTTTTTTTTTATTACTTTTTTAACTACTATACAGTCGTACTTGATCAACTTAACTTATAGTTAGTAAATATATTTGGTTTTAATCAAATTTCTTATACTGGAGATGCCTTGAAGCCTTGTCTCTACCCTTTTGATCAAGCAAAGCATTTACCTATATATACATACATATCGGTATATATGTATATATATATAAATATATCTGGTTAATTTAAAGTTGGATTCTACATAGCCTTTGGTAATCAGAGACGCGGACGCGCTTTAGAAAGTCCTTTTTGTAGTTGTAATCAAATGAATCGAATGAAAAATAATATATGTATATATAGATAGTTATAGTTATATATATGCAAAAATCAAGCCGAACAAAGCCATACGCAACAGAATTTGGAACGTAAAGTAGTAAATGAAAGTAGAAAATTAAGAGAAAGAGAATAGGTTAGTACAATCTTTGGTATTGTGGTGCCAGCATTTAGTTATTTGGTTTTGTATTTTTTTTTTTTTTTTAGTTTTAATAAAGTAAATATTTTGTAAATAGGTAAACGGCATTTACTCATCCTCCTCCTCCCTGAAGAGATATGTGCTCCAGTAGACCAGATTGAAGAGCGCAAAGACCAGCGGGAATGTGATGCGCGATATAACATCGATTCTCTTCGATCTAGAACATTGTCTTGGATAAATATTCAACAAGTACAAAACACATTAATTGATCATCTAGAGATTGGCTTTTTGATTTGTGATTGTTCTTTCGTTTGGATTGGTTTTTTTGTTTTGTTTTTGCATGGTCTTTTTTGTTTTTGGTTTCGATTTTATATCAAAATAATTTGTTTGTTTTAAATGTTTAAACAAAAAAAAAATAAAACGATTTCAGCTACGTGCTTGAAAATTATAAAAGTGCTTTGTAAGGAGTTACGATCTATTAAAAACATAGGCGTGTGGTCAACTAGCAGGTCGTATGGACTTTGGGATGCGGTTCTGGTACTAAGGAGGAAAATAATTTTTGAAAATTCTGCAACAAAAGTTTGTTTAAAACAAACAAATCAAAAGAAAGCAAAGCACACAAAAAACCTTTTGATTTTTAACGGCAGCACATGACACTGTACAACAAATTGGGCTTTAATAAAAAAAAATACGTTTAAGTAACCAATTTTTAAACATATTTGAATGCCTGCTATGAAAATCGCAAAAGAGAAAAATACTTTCTAAGAATTTAAGTTCTCTTAAGTTAATATGTAAACTTTTCGTATTTGTAATATTTTGGTATAAGCAAATTATATTAATTGTTAAAATTCGTAGTTTTGCTTCAGCTAAAAAATGTTTTAAATATTTTAAACTTTGCTCAGGTTTAAAGTTTCAATGTGATTAAAAGTTGACATGAATAGAATTTTATATAGTAAATAAATAAAATCGTTAAATCATAAATACAACGTATAGCACACATAAACAAATCTATAAAAAAATATTTATTCCATTAGTTTTGTTAATTTACAAATTTTTCAGCTTCGTTTAATATTCAAGTTTGTCTTCATTCAATTCAAGTGTAAATTCGTTGTACAGTGTAATTAGCATAAAGCCTGAAGCAAATTACATTTTCACATTTACTTGACTCTGGAATTTGGGGGCCAGATGGAAATCATTTGGCAGCAAGCATTTGAAACAAAAGACAGCGAGCAAAAAGAAACGATGGCAAGCAGCAAAGCAAAGCAGATGTCGAATCGGGTTGTCTTTCATTTAAAGTACATGACTCAATTCATGGATTCAATTCAATTACTGTTAATTAGTGTCATAAAAATTCAATAAGAGTTTTGATATAGATATATATAGAGAGACAGACAGAGAGAGAGAGAGAGAGCAAGATGTAGATACATATTCACAACATCAAAAAGGAAATCCATCAACTACGAAAATTTAACAAAATTCAACTATATACAACAAAGTATTGTTATTATTTTTATTCGAGAGTTACCTTGTCGGGAACTTGGATAGCCAAGTCTTACAGCAGCTGGGACGCTTCGGTGGCTGCATGTGCACCTCGCATTGGCGCAGCTTCTCCAGCGCCAGTGGATCGCCTGGATGACGCACCAGCGGCTTCTGCAGGCCACCACCGCGCGATAATTGCGATGCCGTTTGACATGGAATTTTGATTGTAGTTGATGCAATGAGGGGATGGTCGATATTTGGGGGGGTGGGCAAAATGCAATGGCAAATAGCAAATGGTGGCATGTGCGTAATTTCATTTAATTTCGTTGCAATTTTTCATCGAATTCCAGTTCAGTTGGTTGGGTCGATTGAATGCCGCGCAGCGATGTTGGTTTGATGAAGGTTGTAGTTTTCATTTTTGAGTTTAAGTTGAATGTGTTTTCAGTTTTGAGTTTGAGTTTGGTTTTTATGTGTGGTTTGATTTAGTGTGCGTGTGTGTGTGAGTGTGTATGTGGTTGTTTCGTATGAGCACGTTTGAAAAAAGTTGTTAAATTTTGCGTTTGTTTTTGTTTAAAGTGTGGTGTTTGTGTGTGAGTGTGTGTGTTGGGTGTGTGCGTGTGGTTTTTAATAAAAAGAGGCAAATATAAAAGGAAATAGTTGTTTTAATAGTTTTATCATAAACATTTTGCAAATAGCCAATTTGAATTAGTTTTGTTTTGTTTTCTGCTTTTATCTTCTAAAGAAATCTGATGTAGTTGCATTTGATTTTTAGTTAAATGGTTTGTTAAAATAGTGACAATAAGCTGTTAGGCTTCTTTATAATCTGGCAACATTGTATCAGCATAGTACTCATTCTGTAATTGAGTACTTGTTCAGATTTTTGTACTCATGCTTTGAAGTTTCCATTAAACGTTTAACCGAACCACTACGTGTGTTTTCTTTATGTGCATCTTAGGCACACTAGAAATATCCCAACATTGGTTATGGGCCCAGGTCTCGTTGTTTTCGGTTAAATAAGTACACAAAGTGTCTATGGTTTTGAAAGCTTCCTTTTGTTACATTTTTAAAAAGTTTATTTCGTGCGAAGAATAACGTGGTGAAATTGTCAAAATGAACATGTCGCATCAAATAGAAAAACTTGGTGAGGACAATTATGACGTATGGCATATGGCCATGAAAAGTGTCTTGGTGGTGGCGGACCTATGGAATGTTGTGTGTGGAAAATATGTTAAGCCAGAAGGAAATGGTGAGGATATCGAAAAATGGGTTAGTGTCGACCAAAAAGCGATGGCTTACATAATTTTAAATCTGAAGCCAACACAGTTGATGCATATCAAGTCATGCCCAACATCTGCAGCTGTATGGAAAAAACTAAAGGAAATTCATGTCTCAGTTGGACCGATTAGGAAGGTCCAATTATATCAAAAATTAATACGTTTCAATATGCAGCAGGGTGACGATGTAGTCGCATATGTCAATTCATTTGTTGAGACAATTGAAAAGTTGGCAGAATTAGACATCAAACTCAATGACGAGTTGCAGGTCATCATGTTTTTGAGCAGTTTACCAGACACATGGGAAAATTTTGTAATAGCGATTGAGACACGCGATGAGCTGCCCAAATTCGAAGTCGTCAAGGTTAAAATGTTAGAAGAGGCCACGCGAAAGCAAGAAAGAGCTAGCAGAGACGGCATAGGGACACCAGAAGCAGTGTATACACACAAACATAATGGACCGCGGGACAACAACAGTGTCGAAAGCAAAGGCAGAAAGAATAGCAGTAAGCAGCCATTCCGAGGCAAATGTTTTAATTGCGAAAAAGAAGGGCATCGAGCGAGCGATTGCCGAAATAAAAAGAAGGATGATAAAAAGAGCCAAAAGGACGAAAAGTCTCTATGCTTAATGCACACGTGTGTCAAGGAGAAGCAAAAGAGTTTTTGGTGCGTTGACAGTGGTGCAACATCGCACATGTGCTGCGACCGCAGCATGTTCCTTACGTATGCTGATAAAAAGACGTCGATAATGTTGGCCGCAAATAAGTTTATCGATTCACCCGGCAGTGGCAGTGTTGAGTTGCACTGCAATAGAATAAAATTAAAGCTGCAAAATGTTTTATATGTCCCTGACTTAAGCATGAATTTTTTATCAGTAAGTGCTGCAGCAAAGCTTGAGAATTCTACCATATTTGAAGGGAAAATTGCGCTGATAAAAGACAAAGAAGGCAACGAGATAATAAGGGCAAGACACGAAAATGGTTTGTATGTTTACAAACATAGTCTTGATCAGGTTCATATGCTAAATAGTTCTGATTCATCTTCCATAAAATGGCACAATAGATTTGGCCACCTGAATTTTAAGGATTTGAAATTGCTTAATGATAAGCAACTGGTGCGTGGTATGAAAGTTGAAAATGTACAATTAGAAATAAATTGCGATACATGTAATAAAGCAAAAATTTGTGCATTGCCATTCCCACAGAAAGCGAATCGTGTCTCAAAGCAAGTACTGGACTTAGTACATACAGACGTATGTGGTCCGATGAATGTTAAGTCGCTTGCAGGCAATCGATATTTCGTAACTTTTATTGATGACTACTCACGCAAGATATTTGTTTACCTTATGCACTCAAAAAGCCAAGTTTTTGAGAAGTTTAAAATGTTTAAAACTTTTGTAGAATGCCAAACAGGAAATAAAATAAAGGCTGTGCGCAGCGACAATGGAACAGAGTATGTGAATAAGCAATTCACTGAATTTTTGATTGAGTGCGGTATAAAGAGGCAATTAACAGTTCCTTACACTCCGCAGCAAAATGGTGTGGCCGAACGTGCTAATCGGACCATCGTTGAAATGGCAAAAAGTCTTCTAATTCATTCAAAGCTTGAAGAATTTTTGTGGGCAGAGGCTGTTGCAACAGCAGTTTATTTGCGCAACAGATGTCCCACAAAAGCATTAGATGGAAGCACACCATTTGAGGTATGGAAGGATCGCAAGCCATCAGTACAGCACTTGAGAGTATTTGGCTCGCGGGCATTTGCACTCGACAAAGTCAGAAAAAGCAAGTTCCAAGCAAAGGGCAAGGAGTACATTTTTGTTGGTTACTCCTTTACAGCAAAGGCATACCGCCTATATGATCGCGAGAAGCGAACAGTTATTGAAAGAAGGGATGTCAAATTCATTGAAGGTGAGTTTGACATAGCAACAACTGATGCATGCAGTATTTCAGACAGAAACACCTTCACGACGTACATTATCCCGTTTGAGTCAAATCATGAGGTTGCAAAAAACCACCCAGAGCAACCTGCCGAGGTGCAAGAGTACAACAGTGACTCAAATGAAGAAGAAGAGGAGGATTTTGTGAGCGCAAGCGATCCAGGAGAAGATGGCAACGATGACGACAATGACCAAGTAGCGCTGCCACAAGTTGAAGCTGTAGTAAAACATGGGCGTGGCAGGCCAAAAATTATGCGTACAGGTCAGCCAGGCAGGCCCAGAAAGCAGTACCAATTGATCAATAGTCTTAATCAGATTGAAGACATTGAAACTCCGCAGTCAGTTGCAGAAGCATTACATGGCCAAAATGCGCAGGATTGGGAAAAGTCTATGCAAATAGAGTACGACGCTTTACAAGCAAATGAGACATGGTCAGTGTGTGAGCTACCTCCTGGACAAAAGGCCATTGGTTCAAAATGGGTTTACCGAATCAAGAGAGATAAAGATGGTAATATTGAAAAATTTAAGTCTCGACTAGTTGCACAAGGTTGTGGTCAACAATTTGGTGTCAATTACTGGGAAACGTTTTCTCCCGTAATTCGATATGAAACCATTCGCATGTTATTCGCAATAGCTGCCGAAAAAGAGCTGTATATGCATCAAGTCGACATTTCAAACGCATACTTAAATAGTAAGCTTAATGAAACTGTGTACATGAAACAGCCGCCGAATTTTATTGACAAGCAGCATCCAAATAAAGTCCTCAAACTAGAAAAGGCACTTTACGGGCTTAAACAATCCGGACGAGTTTGGAACAATACGCTCCATGAGGTATTGAGAGGCATGGATTTTAAAAGATGCAAAAATGAAACATGCTTATACGTCAAGCAAAAGCAACAACAATTCAGCTACATCGCTGTCTACGTCGACGATTTAATCATAGTGTGTCCCAGCGAAGAAGACATAGCCGTGATTAAGAAGAAGATTGCATCAAATTTTAAAATGCACGATGGAGGCCCCATTAGCTATTTCCTAGGCATGGAAATCCAACGCGACGGCGATCGAGGTTCCGTTTCGCTGTGCCAGAAGACGCACATTCAAGGCCTATTGGACAAGTATGGCATGAGCAATTGCCGTCCAGTAAGCACACCTCTTGACCCAGGTTTTCAAGTGGACTGCAACGACGATACTTGTGTAAAGGTAAATATAACGCAATATCAGTCATTAATTGGTTCGCTTATATACTTAGCAGTTTTGAGCCGACCAGACATTTTGCATGCTGTAAACAAATTATCACAAAGAAATGCTAATCCTCATGGAGAACACCAGTCTGCAGCAAAGCACATTCTAAGATATCTTGCGGGTACAAAGAATATGAAATTAGTATACCGTAAAAATGGCAAACCACTAAAAGGCTATGCAGATGCAGATTGGGGCAACGATCGGCTGGACAGGAGATCCTATAGTGGCTACGCATTTTTCCTGGCAGGCAGTGCGTTCTCTTGGACTTCATCAAAGCAAAGCGTTGTCGCATTGAGCAGCACTGAAGCAGAATATATTTCTTTGTCCATGGCTGCCAAAGAAGCAGTTTATCTACGCAGGCTACTTAGTGAGATGGGATGGTCAAAGGATACAGAGCCATTGACTATATGTGGCGACAACCTAAGCGCGCAACATATTGCGCAAAATCCAGTCCATCATAAGCGCACTAAGCACATAGACATAAGGTATCATTTTATACGTGAAAAGGTACAATGTAATGATATTGCATTAGAATACGTACCTACAAATAATAATGTTGCAGATATACTAACAAAATGTTTAAGTAAGCAAAAGCACGTAGGCTTTGTAAAAACACTTGGATTGAATTAAATTTGTTATTTTGCAACTGATTATAATTAGCTTAAGAAGTGTTAAAATAGTGACAATAAGCTGTTAAGCTTCTTTATAATCTGGCAACATTGTATCAGCATAGTACTCATTCTGTAATTGAGTACTTGTTCAGATTTTTGTACTCATGCTTTGAAGTTTCCATTAAACGTTTAACCGAACCACTACGTGTGTTTTCTTTATGTGCATCTTAGGCACACTAGAAATATCCCAACATGGTTTGATGTGCATTAAATTTGGCAATGGCTCCAAACATTTTACTACTCTCTTAAAAAATTATTACCCAATGGTCATTTCTTTCCATGGAAAAGCTCAAAAATAGCCAAAATTGACAGTTTAGATTTAAAAGTTTGCTGCTGCACCCTCATAAAATATTATTACTATAGTTATACTAGTTTAGTAACATCCCTGTTCATGCTCGCAATTAACAACTTGGTATGCAGCTGCAAAGAATTAAGGTTTAAACGCGTGGCGCCCAACACGGGGCCATTGCCTAATGGAAGTTAGAGCCTTGTCTTTAAAATGCTGTTCATTAACGTTGAATATCAATCATTCCCACATATATCTTTTAAATGAGAAATCTAGTAAAATCCAACATTTAAATTACGTAGTGCAACTAGCCAACGTTGTTACTTTATATTAAATATGAAACATCTCAAAATAATTTTCATTTATTTCTGATTTGCTACAGCTGAAATTTACTTTCTCATTTGTAATAAACTTGTGCCATTCTTCAAACTTATCTAAATTCTATTCTATGCTGCACACCTTATATTTTGATTCTTTAAATTCATCTAAATTCTATTCCAAACTGCGCTCAATAAGTTCTGAGGTTAATTAATGAACAAATTGTTAGTTAATTGAAAGGTAAGTACCATTGCGAATGTTGCATTGCTATCTGTATCGAGCAAATCTGAAGCGGCATCTAAACTGGCCTGCTCCAAATCGCGACGTTTCTTTTTCATATTCTCCTTATGCATGTCTGCGGCCCGATCCGTATATTGTTGCATGTGATAGGAAGATGTTTGACAAGAATTTATATGTTCCACAAAAATGGGATAGTTCCAATAGTTTCATAGACATTTTTCAAGTTTTTTGTTTTGTTTTTTTTTTTTTTTTTTTTTGTTTTTTTGGCGTAATTTACAATTGATTTAAATATTTTTTTGTTTTTTTTTTTTTAGATTTTAGTTTAGATGCATAGCACACATTTATACAGTTATACAGTTAGATAGCGACAGAGACAGCGAGTGAGAGAAAGAAAGAGAGACAGATAGAGATAGATAATCACACATACAGAAACAGTAAATAATTTGGAAGTGTTGTCAAACGATAGTTTTTTTAATCGAGTGCACGTTGTGAAAGTGATTTTTGCCAAATTATAATAAAAAAAAAAATATGTATGTGTTAAAAGCACAAAATAACAGGGTTTTCAGTTTCGGTTTAGTATTTTTTTTTTTTAAATGTATAAGCAATGACAACAGCAAAAGAGAATTTTAAATGCGTTTCAAATTGCGTTGGTGTCGATTATTCCAAAGTAGAATTTGTTTTATTGTTGTCCAATTTGTATTTTTTCAAACGCGTTTGGGTTTGATTGAGTGTGTGTGCGAGTGTGTTTGTGTGTTTATATGTGAGTTGGATGAGTGCGTGTGTGTGTGGGCGCACAATGAAATAAGAGAGTAAACCAAAACAATTGGATTAGTAGAAATATACACGCAGAGTAGATTTGGTTTTACAATATTTATGTGAATGAAAGAACTAAAAACTCGAAAAAAATATACATATTATATATATCGAATGGAAAATAAATGATAGGCTACAGGCTTTTTGTTAAAACTTAGTTAGTTGCTTCTGGTTGTTGTTGTTGTAGTTGCTGGCCAAAAATCAGTTTGTTTATAGCCCAAAAATTGTGTGTGCCACGCCGACGTGTAGATGTGACTCTGTGTGTTGCTTTGGGTGTATATGTGTGTTTGTGTGACACAGAGAGAGTGTGTGTGTGACAGTCCGTTTAAGTTTTGGTATATTAGATATGAGCGTGATGTTGCAGTTATATAGGTATATACACAATATACGTTACATGTAGCACATATATATATTATCTATCTATATATATATATATATATATATATATATAAGGATGTATATATTTATATGCGTTGCTCTCGACAAAAATAATGATAAAAAACAACAAATAGAATAAACACCATCGATTAATACATTAAGTAAGTTTGTTAAGAAGCATATCAAATCTCAATTACTAGCTTTATTCAAACCTGAGCGGGAGGCATAGTTCACCAGGGCGAATTCAAGTAATGCCCCAAAGACAAACGTCAAACAGACGCCGGTCCAAACATCGATTGCCTTTGTATAGGAAACGGGCGGCAGTGAGGCATTAATGCCCGATGTTTGTGTAGCCATTGTGAGTAAAGTGGTCACACCTTTAAAATAAAAACCAAAGTAAAGCAAGGAGTAAATAATATAGTTTTTATTAAGTTCTTTGTATATCTGATATTAGTCTTGGGCACATACTTATGCAGTGAAATGTTACCCTGAGTCTATAAGTTGGGTTTGTTGAAAAGTTTGTTTTCTCTCAACGCACATTCTATGTATGAATGTATATATATATATATATATATATATTTAGTTCATTACTTACCTAACGATACTCGCGCTGGCACTGCTCCTTGATCCAGCCAGAATGATACCCATGAGACAATGACCAACATACAGCATGGTATATAAATTTGTATTAAGTAATATGAGAATTCTCGCTTGAATAGTAGATCGACTTTGAGGCAACTGTATTCACCTATGAGTATACAAGGTAATATAAATTGTGTCAAACTTAAAATGTACGGGAAGGATAAAATGTACACGAAATTGACATTTTTTATGTTGCTTTCCAAGCACACGCACGCTCACAAACATATGTATATACACAGAGAAATGAGTTTAGACACTGAAAACCAAAACAAATAAAAAAAACACAGACACAGAAACACACACACATTTCCAATATTTATAATATATTTATCAAAGAAAATTTGTCATCCAATAAACGAGAAATCAAAAAAAAAAACACATAATTTGACTTGCTTTTAAAATTTTGGAAAAAGAAAAACATTTATTTGTCATTTCCATATAATTTTTTGTGTTTATGTACAGGAAGGAGGTAGGCTTCCAAAAAAGAAAAATTATAAAATTATGCACAGTGAGTCGGGCGGGGGTGGCACGTCAATGCAAAAAAAAAAAAAAAACACAATACCAAAAGAAAAAGAAACACACAGAGAATGATATTAAGAGACAGAGAAACAGAGAGTTGAAATGGGAAATTATAAAATGGCATCATAGGCAAAATGTATTCTAACATCAATTCAATTTTCTGACTTTTTGCAACAAAATTCTTAACGGAAATGAAGTTCGTAGGGCTCGTGTAGAGGGCGGGGGCGTATTCTTTGTTGTTGCAGTTGTTGTTGTTGTTCTCGCTTCTGTTGCTCCTGCTGTAAGCTTCCGCTGTGAATGCCCCCACGCGCCCCTTCATTTCCGTTAATTTGTTGACAGTGCGTTCCATACTCTTCAAGACAAAGCTGTTTTATTATTTTACATTCTCATATTTTCATTTTCAATGTACAAGATTTTCATTTAATTTCTGTCATTGAATTGATCGCTGCTTTTCTTTCTTTTTTTTTTGGCATTTTTTATTTTTTGCTCATGTTTGCATTTTCGAGTGGCTGCGTGTGGTTTATTTGCTCGGCTCTCTGGGAAACTCTGCTACTGGATACCGGTTGCTTTTGGCTTTCGCAGACGTAATCGCGAATTCATTTGCCATAAGATTTATTTATTTATTTTTGCTTTTGTATTTAGTTATGACCCAGTTGAGCAGTTTTCTTTCCATTTTAACGCTCATAGAAGACATAAAATTAATAAACGTTTTATGTGAGCAACTAAGTTCAAGGTGAACTAAACGCAATCAACTACGCAACGACTAAAAACGGGGTTCGGGAAAATGATGCATAAAAAATATATATATACATCTTTTTTATAAGAGTACTCATGCTGAACTCTTTAAAAGCGATTATGAGCAAAGCAAATGATTTTAATGAATGATATTACACATCTTAAGCCTTCGAATGAGCTCTACATTAAATGTGACTAGCTTTGGGGAGAGGGTCTGATTAGGGTAATACGAGGTTACTATAAATCTGAGTAAGATATAACAATTATCTTTGAGAATCTATGATTACTCTTTTATTCAGAAACTATAATCCCAACTGAAGGACCAAACTAGAGCTACGTAACATAGTAGCCTAAAAAGATATAATTTATATGTAAGGAGCATAGGAAAACCTGTAATTACCGATTTTAGCTAAGATATCAGCAAAACCAATCAACTAATATATCGTAGGTTTTTTTTTAATTTCTTCTGTTTGTTTTTTTAGACATCTTGAACAAAGTCCGCAATTTTAAGTTTTAAAATTCCCTAATATACTCTATAATAATGGCAGGTTGAGGCAAATCAACAACTGGACTCCTTAGAGCAAGATTCATTGTAATTGTGAGTTTATCATATCAAATCAAATATATAGTTTCCACAATGGCACTGCGATGGGTATCATTAGTTATTTGCAGTAAGCGTTGGGGCTAAAATGCAGCATTAAGAATTTTCTATGAAGTGCTCAAACGAAAGCAAATCACAAATCGGTTGCATTTTCTAGACATAAATTATCCACCTAAAGATGCTGACTGACAATTTGCCAAGTTTGTGAAAAACTTTTGCGTATTTGTATGCCGCAACTTGGGCGCCCGCCTAGTTTTATAGATACACACACACATAGATCATCATCATTGGTGCCGGTTGAGTGGCGGGGGATGTGTGAATGGGGGCATTTGGTCTTTGTGCAAGTTTAAGCAACTGCGTCGCAAACAATTTCCTCGATTAATTTACTTTCCGAGCCCGCCTTTTGCCATTTTTCATTTTCCGTTTCGCATTTGCTTTTCGCAGACGCAGCCCTCAGATGCGAGTAGATGTTCTTGGTAGCCAAGGTAAACATTTGCTTAAAGCGCGAACTGATTTCAAAGTTCTCATAAAAACCCGGCTAAGGTAAGCGACACGAGATGCCAAAAACTGCACTAAAAATGGACGAGTGGGTGCGGCTGCTAGATTTTGTGTGTAGGTACGCGTGTCTGCTGGGAGTGTGTGTGAATTACATCGTAAAAATTTGGTTTTTATGTGATTCGGGCATTGATAACGGCCCAATGGAAAGCTCGTGTGTAAACGGCGTCATTACAAGCATCTAAGTGTAGGTGTGTATGTGTGTGTGTGTGATGTGTGTTTGCTATGAAGTGCCGTTTGTTTTATATAAGCATATGGACGAGCCAAACACTATATTGAAATTTAATATATTGAATTTAATACAAATAGAAATACACATATACGTATACAAAGTAGTGGCCTAAGACATAAACCCGATGGAAAATTAAGAAAAAACGCACAAGCTTTAAGACAAAAGCAAATTTGTTTAAGAACGAAAACCAAGCAACAACTTACAAAAAATAGCAAAGGTAAGCTACAAGTTTATATATAAGCTAGATATATATTAAGAAAAGTTGAAGGAGTATAGTAGATCTCAAGCACAATCAACACAACTGTTTAAAACACACATCAAAAACGTACCCGTGTTGGTTTTACTGTTACAGTAATCAGTCAAAAACTTCTCCAATGTGAAGCGAGGTAGGTGTAAATTCTTAACCACTTGCACTGGATCACCCTCTTTCCAAAGGAATACCAAATCGTTGGTGGTCCAGCCGTCTATTAATAGAAAAACGACATATATTATCAGTTCGATATATAGATATAGATATAGATATAGATATAGATATAGATATAGATATAGATATAGATATAGATATAGATATAGATATAGATATAGATATAGATATAGATATAGATATAGATCAACAACAATCACTTACAGCTAGCCATTCGTAGTGAGCATATTTGCCTATCCAATGGATACAGTTTGAGATTCATTGGGCAGGCCAATGTTAATGAGATGCGTATACTATAGAGCACCGAACCATTGGGAAATATGCGTATGTATACATTGGGCATAATGATATTGTGAAAATGTCCCTCCTTCTCATTGGAAAAGAACAGATCCGGCATCCACACGCGATTCGCCTCCGTGAGTGTGAGATATTTCAAGCGACCTGTAAGGATTTATTTGTTTATAATCAAAATAATAACTATCCAGCGATTACTTACCCTGTATATCATCGAATTTGAGGCGCTCATCCGTCCATTGTTCTCGGAAGGTTAACTGTACACTGTACTCCTGTAGGGCGTCGTTGTTGATGATGGTTTATAATGAGAGAGAATTTTGTTAATACTGGGAAATTCAATGTTCGTTTATTGTTTCATTATAATTTTAATTCAATGCAATTCAATAAGAACTACAATGCAAATTTGGTTGTTTTTGAATTTTTGGGGAATTTCAAGAGTTTTCGTTTTTCGAAATTTGTATTTTTTTTAATTTAGTTTGTTTTCGGTTGTGGTGGTGGGTGTGAGGCTTTTCAATTGGTGGGCTTGCAAATTGCTTTTGCGAGGGGGACTTTAGCTTGACTTTTAATTTTTTTTTTGTGGTTAGTTGTATGAGAGAGCGAGCAGGGCGTGGCGAGGCGTGGCGAACGTCTTATATATTTTTCAAGTAGTTAGTTTATATTTGTTAGTTAGTAAGTAGTATTATATGGTGGTTTCAATAACTTTTGAAAAGTTGTCGTATTTTTTAAAGCGTTTGGCCTTAAAGGCATAATTTTTGGTTAGAGAATATTTCGGCAATGGTATTGGTATAAGTATTATGTAAGTGTTCATGTCATGGCACATAAAAATGTATATATGGGTATATATCATAATAATCGAATCAAGATGCAATACAATCTGCGTCTGTTATGCTGAGCATGCAATATCAAGCGCATTCAACATGAACATCATTATCCAATGCATTGTTCAACATTGCAACGTGTTGCATACAAAACACATAGCAGGCAATAAGCAAAAAGCAGCTTGCAACGTGCCAAAACTGCATAAAAAAATACGATATTGTCAATAGGAAATGGACAAAAACACTATTGAACAGCGACACAAGCGAGTAGCAAAGGCAACACAAAGCAGGCAGCGAATATCAGGCAGTAGCATTTCATAAAAGAAGCAGGCTTATATATGTAGTTACTATGTTTATACTTAGACATTCCTTATAATATATGACATAAAGCATAAATGTATTCTTATATATATCTTAAGATTCTTTTCTTTAAGTAAGGCACACTCTACTTGCACTTAAGACCCAATATAGATAACGAAAAGAAAATGAAAACAATGTTTATTTTTAAATATCACAGACCTAAAATAAAACAAGTGGTTCTAGTCGGGAGCTCCCGACTAGGGGATACCCCAAACCCTCTCCTTCCAACATCAAATGCATATATGTATATATTCGATTTTAGAAGCTAAATGTCAAGTTTGGTGACTCTAGCTCTTATTATTTACCGAAATTGCACAAAAAACAGGATATCGATATCGATTTTTATCGATTGCTTGGAAACGGAGTAAGTTATCGATTATCGGAAACAAACTCGATCTGCGCGGGAGCTAGGAGCACCTACATCGATCAATTTCAAGTCTCTAGCTCTTATAGGTTCTGAGATCCTTGCGTTCATACATAGGGACGGACGGACGGACGGACGGACAGACAGACGGATGGACGGACAGACGGACAGACGGACATGGCTAGATCGACTCGGCTATTGATGCTGATCAAGAATATATATACTTTATGGGGTCGGAGATGCTTCCTTCTGCCTGTTACATACATTTGGATTTTGCACAAATACAATATACCCTTATACCCATTTTTAATGGGCTCAGGGTATAAAAATAAAATGAAATGAATAACGTATAAAGAGCACAATATTTGTGCAGGCAACATAGTTCCAGGTTTGATTCGCAGTAAAGTAGCTGGGACTATATAAGGAACTTGTGTTGATTTATATAAATTAAATTAAATTGAAATTATCCTTTTTTAGAGCCCCAAAATATGCTTGTTAAAACGAAATTACATATATTCATGCTATATTTTCTAAATAGATCAAATAATAAACGGGGGTTTTGTAGTGAACCATTCAACGGAAGGTACAAATTAAATAGGAAACAGAAGCTTGAATTGATTAATAAAATCCTATTAGCTTTTCATAATGAAGTCGGCAACTATTTGCATTTTGTTCATGGCGGCATTGTTATGTTTTATTCAATTTTACTTTTTTTTGTTTGCTGTTTCAGATTTTGTTTTATGTGATAAAACAAAAAAATTATTGAAATGCCAAATGGCATTTGTAAACATATGAAGCAAAAAATGACAACATATAAATTTGAATAATTAAAACAAATAATACGATTATATTTATGGCATGTACACGTATTTGTTCAAATGCGTATGCGGCTCCACTTAATAAATTGATGTAAATTTTTTTATAATTTTTTTGTTTTCTTGATTTTTTTATGAAGCAGCTGTCAGAGCTGTTCATTTTTTTTGCCAGTCTTCAGAGACTGCAATTTGTTTTAATGTGCCTATTTTTTGTAATGGAATTGCAATGACAAATGTTGGGACCTTGAACGCACGCTTTGACTGGATGAATTTAATGTTAACTCTTTGTATTTAATTTTTTTGTACTTACAATTAAACTTGGCTTTTATAAAAAATATTTTGTACTCGTTGGCTTTGCATGTGTGGTAAGCATTTTTTCTGTTTATCTTAATTGATTATAAAAGAAAATATATTTCTCAGTTTTGTAAGTGTTAACTGAACGCATATCGACTTGAAAAGAAGAAGACATAGAGAAAAATTAAAAGTTTTAAAAATGTGACTTTTTTTTCTCTGTTATGGTCATTGAACAAATGCAGATGAATTGAATGAAATGAGCTTGTGGTTGGGCTTAGATTCTTTTGGTTTAATCGTTTTAGGCTTAAACTAACATAGTTTCAGCTGGTTACAAAATGGTCTAAAACTATGAGAACTTACAAATTTTAACTTAGGAACTAACTTTAATTATAATAAACATTTCTTTAAGTTGTGTAGAGAGCGCGCGCCTGAAAAAACTGGCTTGATTGTGTGATATATAAAAAACGAAATTGAACACAAGTAAGGAACATATATAAGAAATGAATTAGTATTTGAGAAAGGTACATTGGGAAATATACATAGATATCATAGATATAGGTATATGCATACATAAGTACATGTATGCTTGCAAAAATAAATATGTAACTAAAGAAAGAAATCTCTTGCCATTGCTGCATAACTAACAATTTAAATATTTCTCAATATTTATATTTTTTAATTGTGTACACAAGAGATTTCTGGAAAATAAATTCGAATTTTGCAAGACAATTGAGAAAATGTTGACGAAAAAAAATATATGTATTTTATACAGCCAATTTAATTAATTTCAATTATTATTTTATTATAATGTTTAATTTGTCTTTTATTTATTACATACTTTTATACATAAATATACATATTTAGTAATACAATATACATACACACTGCTTATTTATGCATTTCACATAGTTGTATCATGTTTTTTTTAATATTATATTTAAAAAGCAAATCTTTTGTGTTTATTTTAATTTACATACACAATCACACACAGATACACGCACGCACGCACAATACACATACACAATAGTTGAAAAAAGATATACAAGTATATATATATATATTTATAATATATATTAGAGCAAAATTTGTAAAGCGCTTGGAAGTTGTACTTGTTGTATTCATATACACAATTATTGCTTGCATATATAATATTCGTTAACTGCCTTTGAGCCTGCACTCACCATTTTGTAATCATCAATTTTTGATATGGAGCGCAGAAACATGTTGACCTGGACTAATGTAGCCAAATTTGCTAAAAGATTATTATATCAAAATCGAGCAGCATTTGCTTTATGAGTTATCATAATTTCATGGACAATCGATAACAATGTTATACTTATTTATATATATGTATATAATGTAGGCTTACAATCTTAATGCTAGCTTAAATTGAGTTTCATATTTGTTTTTATTTGATGAATATTATGTGAGCCCTAATTGTATGTTAGAACTAAATTCAAATCAATGAAAAAACGATACAAATTGAAAAAAACAAAATACAATTAAGAAAAATATTTTTGAAATTGATACGGACAAATGTCTGCATGGATCTCATTGAAGTATGAGGTTTAGGTTTTCTTAGATATAAACATACAGTTAATTAACACAATACAGTTAATTAACAAATTACGTCAATTGCTCTACCAATTTTAAGCACATATATGTATAACATTGCATTGGGCATAGGTCCTATTTCTACTGTTTTATTCGAACTAGTCTGTCAGTAAATTTATCGTAATAAAATTTGGCGTAAGTGTAGAGTTTTGCTACTGCTAGCACATTCCGATCGGAACACTTTCTTATATATATGCCATAAAATTTCTGCAAGGGTTTTAGTCTTCGACAATTCGAAGCTAATCAGTTATTTTTTCTCTTGTTTTAATATAAATTTGAATTTGGTTTTTAGAACTTCTTAGGTTTTTTTACAAAACGCATGCCACACACTTTTAAATTTTTAGTACCTTGAAAGCTTTAATCAAAATATTTTCTTGTTCTTGTTTGCTTTTAATATCAATATGAATATAATATCAATTGCTTCGAGGTCTTAAAATAAACAAACAGCAAACAATATGCAGCTTAATAATTAGTTGGTGGAGTCTAACTGAAAGTTGGTTTGTGAATTTTGAGGATTGGGAAGGGGTGACTTGTAAAAGGTGGGGTGTAAAGATAAACAACCAACACACGTACAAAGCACACGGAAAATTTAAGTAACACATTTTGTATATATTTAATTGTTGTAGACATATAACATTTTTGATTCTAAGTAAATAGATTAGTTATAATTAAACAAAATTGAAACTGGCTAATGTTTATGAAATAATAGAAATTTAGTAAACATACGTAATCAATTAGGGTTTGTATGTAAATGTATTGTTTTTTCTGGAAATACACACACGACAGTTAGCATAAAGAACCATATGTATATATATATATATATATATATATATATATATATATGAATAACTGATGTCCAGCAGTCATCATTACAATTAGTAATAATTTGATATGAAAGAACAAGTTTATTTATGTAGGCGTAATAAGCATTAAGAGGAATTCATAATTGATAATTGCTAAGGGGGAATTTGTTATAACAGAGAGAAAAGAGAGAGAGAGAGAGAGACAGATGAATAGGTTGATAGTTACAGAGAAATAGAGAGTTGAAAATGAAACTAGATTTACATACACTTTGGTCAAAATAAAGACAGAGCGAGAGAGAGAATTAGAGAGAGAAAGAGACAGACAAAAAGAGAGTGTGTGTGCTTAACGGAGTATTGCATATATATGAAAGATAGGTAGAGAGATACAGAGAGATACAGAGAGAGACAGAGAGGGAGAGAGATCCAAAAAGACATTTTCTTTATGTTTTGCTCATTTATACTACAAAACAAATTTATTATTTTACATTTTTGTTTGGCAAAGGTAATCAAAATATTTTCAAGAAAAAAAAAAAACCAAATAAAATTGTTACCAATTCTAATATTTAAATTAAAACAAATTAAAACTAATATGCACAATCCAATTATAATGCTAAATTGTATGGTTAGCCAATTACTTAGTAGCTAGAAGAAATTCTTGTTCAAAACGAGGAACAACAACTTCTTAAATTGAAAAGTGTTTGCAAATTTTTGTTTAAAATTTTGTTATGAGGTAAAAGCAAATATTTTTAAATTAGTATAAATATGTAGTAACTAAAAACACATTGATAGTTAAACAATTGTACGTTTGTTGAAAAATACCAATATCCGATATAGTTAGTTTGATATGTATATTGCATAGTTGTTATTATTATTAATCATATAATAGTATTTGTGTTTTCTGTTAGTTAACGCCTGGTCATAGATAAGATATAAAACTTACATAAGATACGCGCACTGTTATTATATATTTATATATAGGGGGCAACCTGCTCTATGAGACAGAGACGGATGGAGAGAGAGAGAGAAAGAGAGAGAGAGAGAGAGAGAGAGAGAGAGAGAGAGAGAGAGAGAGAGAGAGAGAGAGCAAGAGGGTGGGACAAAGACAGCGAGCGTAGGAGTTAGACAGAGATTGAGAGCGGGTCGGGACACGACTAGTTCGTAGTTCATTGGCACGGTTGTGACTGGGGCAAAACACACACAGTCACACGCAAATTAAAAGTTCGTGTGCAAGGTCGCAGAGTCTGTGGTTCTTATCTATATGATTTTTTATTTTTTAATTTTTGCGCGCACTTACCATGGTTACATCATCGATTTTCGAAATACTTCTAACGAATATGTTGACGCGTACAACAGCTGGACCATCTGGTGGGATGATACATATAGATAGACCAATTTTTACAATTTGGGTAATAAACGAAATTTAACAACTGGCCACACTGCTGCTGCTGCTGAGTTTGCACTAAGACTTAGCATAGCAAATATTTAAAATTACCAATGATTTTTGTTACCCGCCTGGTATCCTATCTGGCTTTATGAGTTTTTTATTTTCTTTCTTGCGATTCTTTTCTTTATTTTTAATATTTTCTTTATGGCTGTAATAAAGTTTAACTTTTGTGCCTATGGCCTGCTTACAATAAGTTATGGTAGTCACTTTATATTTCTTATGCCGGTAAGCTAAAGTATCTTGTTAGTTTTATCTACATAATAGAGCCAAAGATAATCTAAAGTATTTTTTATATGCATGAGTTTTGTATGAGCTTATATGTGGCTTAAAAAGTATATTACACAAATCAAATGAAAACTCATAATCATTATAAAGCATGTTAAAGGGAAGTACGACGTTTTTTATTTTTTGTGCTAATTGATGAGCATATATATATACATATATGTATATTAATTGTTTTTATTTTGCCAATATTATTGACTTTTACAAAGCGTTGGCCGCTTTTTATATTTATGTATTTGGATGATACTTCTGCATTTTTAATGATGTCATTGCTGCGACAAGAGTCAACATGACAGGAATACACACCCATACACACACGAACACACACTCAAAAACAAACTGTAAATGAAATTCAAACAATAAATATGAAAATAAAATGATGTGACACCAACATGGATAAGTGGGTAGCGGCCATTAAACACGCACACATGAAAAATAGATTTTTCCAAGTAATACATTTAAAACACGATTTTAAATTGGATACGACCGTAAGGTGTGAATAAGAAATACTTGAAATTCACAGTAAATATTTATAAAAGAAAATTATAGATATTTTTTCCATTTCAAACGAGATACAGTTATTATCGTAATTAAAATTGCCAATATAGTTTTAAGTACCCGTATGTAAATATTGTAGTACTGTCCCATTACATATATAAAACAACAGCTAAAACGGTAAACATTTTATTGCCTTTCAGAGGCAAGTGGCTCACTTTCACGTATAACTAGCAATTTCGCTTTCCCATTTGCCCGTTTTTGACGAAAGTGGAAGGCAAATTACCTAGTAAATAACAAGGCATGTTGCCAGTCGAATAAGAATATGTTTCGCCAGGAAGATAAATTTGCGATAGAGAAAAGAAGACAATTATTTCCGTTTGTTCTTGTCCGTGGGCATAAGGAAGCGATATCAATGATTACTAAGAATCATCCAGAGCTTTTTGCACACTATCTTCCTTGGGCTTAGATCACTTCAAAATCTTTGCAGGGTACTCACAAATCGATGTGTGCCTTTGTGTGTGTGAAAAGCCAACAAATCGAAAATACTTTGTGTCTAGCCTAAAAGTAGGCAACCGTTTATGTCAGAAATTTAGTTGAAATTGATGACTTATCGATTTGTTGGTGCAGCTGACAAATCATCAGGAGATTTTCCAGCACTTCGAGTGTGCTTGTGTGTGTATGTGTATGTGTGGTTGCTTCTGTTTGTCGGGGTAAGAGTTAATGCATGTCAAATTTGACTTAAAGGAAAGAAACTTAAAATGCAAATACTGCTAGCTATAACTGCAAAATGTAGTAGTAGTAGTTGATTTCTGAGTAGTATATAAGTATGAAAGCACATTGTCCATACATATATATATATCATAAATCAATATATATATATATATATATATACATATATATATATGTAGCCGAAATAACTATGTTTGCTCGGAGCAAAAACAAGACAGAGAAAACGAAACGAATTTGGAAAATGCAAAACACTCTTTCTCTAAAATATGCGTAAGACCAAAACTGAAAGATAAAATATATATATCCATATATATATATATATATTTTTATATGGATGTATGCACACAAGTGTATCCAAATACATGTGCCATAAAAGTAGCTTTGCTTTCATAAAAGAAAAGAAACGAAGTGAAACACTAAACAAACGCAAAGAACGCAAATTTCAATAGCCATAGAACAGCAAACATAGTTAGATATTGGGTTAAACAAAGCTATAGAGAGGAATATTGGACTAAAGGGATATGGGTTAGCTTGGTATATATATGGTGTGTCTAAGTTAAACAGAGCGAGAGAGAGAGTTAGACAGAGATAGAAAGTTAGAAAACCCAACTTCAAAGCAAAAGCAAACAAAGTGTAATATGTTTTTTTTTTCGATCTTGTTTTTGGCTATTATAGTTTAAATGTATGTGTGGGTATATGTATGTAGCATCTATATATGTATCTGCGTCTGTGTTTGAGTGAGCATAGTAGCATAGAGCATATAGTTTAGTAAGTTCTAGTAGTTGTTATTGTTATGATTAAAACTGCACACTACCAAAAATATTTGGATATGCTTGGTTTTGGATTTGGGTAGTTTCAAAAGGGATAGTTACTATAGTGTACTGCATGTCGTATAGGGTGCTGTAAGATGAAAGAGAGGAGAGAGCAAAAGAGAGCTAGAGAGCGAGTGGGTCTATCGAATTCGGTAAATGTAGGCCAAGGCTTTTGGTTTTTTAATTAGTTTGATATTTTTGTTTTCTCTTTATTTTATTATTTTTTTATTTTCAGGCTCACTCTTATATGGAACTTACCATTTTAATATCACTAATCGTCATTATACTGCGTACGAATAGATTGATTCTGACTATGGCGGGACCATCTGGCATAGAGTTTGGTTTTTAAAGTGTAAGTTTTCTGTTTTGCTTTCATTTTTTCTAATAATTATATAACTAACTAAGCTAATAAATAGAACTCTGTAGGTCTCCATACTAAGTTAATATAACTGTTTTGTACTTATTAAGAGACTTACAAATATGATATAATATATGACCAATTGTTGTTATGGCATTAACTTTTCTTTGACTTTGTGAATAGAAATAACAAATCACAACAAAAATAGAAAACTGATTAGAAAATCACATAAGTAAATTTTTAATTACGTAAGTATAGCAGCTAATAGAGATATATATATATATAGATTTTTTGTATTGCCTATAATTTGGTATAGTATGTAATAAAAGTATATGCTCACCTGTGCCATTTATTCCAGACGGTCGTATTCTGGCATCGTATTTGCCTGCACCTAAAATTTGATCTAAGACTTTTTTCTCCTTTTCTCGGAAATTTATTTTGGCATTATTTGCTCTGAAATCAGGATATGGATAGGTACGCACGTGTAATTTTAATTTTTGAATTTTTTCCATTTTGTGATTGGGTTTGTATATTCAAGTATTTTAGACAATATTCTGAAGTAGTTTTGAAAAATATGCTGAACAAATTTTGGTGACTTTTTAGAATTGCAATAAACGATAAGATTTGCATAAAATGTACAGCAACTTGTGTGTTTTTTTTTTGTGTCATTTTTTTTTTTTAATATTTTGTTTGATAAATTTTATGTACAAATTAAGTGAAGTGTATTTGTATGTTTATATTTGTTTGTTATTTTTATATATATATTTTTTTTTTGCGGACTCTGCAGACATCTTCATTATACACTGTCGCACTTATCTGAAGCCCAGGCAAAGCCATGTCACAATTGCTGCTGGCTCTGTCCTCGGCTTGAGCGTAAATAATTCCAAAATTTATGCTCCGACAAAAATTACATGAAAATTAATTACATTTTAATGATGTTGTGAAGTGAAACTGTTAAAATGCATAAAAACATGTTATGGTAATGAGATTATAAGTTCAAGTGACTGGGCGCTACGGGGCGGGGCGGAGCGAGCGAGTGGCGAGAGGCTGGGCGTGGCTGAAAACACAACAAACGCAAAAAGCAAACTACATATGACTAAAGCACTACTTAAAATATATATCGTGTATATCATATACCACAGATACTCTTTATAAGTATATGTACATGGTCTCTCTTTTGAGGGGGCTTGGCAATCCGGCAAATTAACGGCAATTGTATGCAAATCGACTGGTGAAGCGTCGGCACTCACACGCACTTGAGTGCAAAATGTGAGGTCAACAAAAAAAAAATAAAATCCAACAAAGAAAAAATTGGCGACAAAAACATAAATACTTTGTATACTTTTAGCAACTACTGTGAGTGTGATGCATGTGCCTTGTTGCGTGTACTTACAGTGAGGCGCTGCACAGGCTGGTAAAGTAGAAGATCGCCCAGAAGTAGTGTCCGGTGCCCATGGCTAGGCGCAAACTCTCCACGTAGCTGCTAAAATGAAGCTCTAGATCAGCTCTTGTCCGAGTGTGTGTGCTGTGTGATCCAAGTATTGAGGGACTAGCTGAAAAGATAAATAATACAAACAGTACCAATATAATCAAGGCTGTCAAACCAACAAAGAAATTGTTGCTGTTTCAGTTTCGGATTCAAGCCCATGTCGAAAGAATACAGTTCGTCGTTTTTCACATCAATAAAACAAAACTTTGGCTCGAACCCATATTCATTTTACCATGATCTATTCAGTGTCTTTAATTCTCTTTTTTGTATATTTTACATATTTAATCTAATATATAAGAAATTAATTATGATAAGCTTTAATTAAATGCTTTTATTCATATTCATCTTATCGCCACCTATATATTATCAAGGCATTCGTTCCATCGCCTAAGCTTGTGCATATCGGACGAAACGCCTAAAATTAAATTACTGAAATCTTAAGCACGCACCTGCACACCCACATAAACCCACAACCTGCATAGACATGCACGCAAACTTGGCATCCTTTTGGTGTGAAATTAAATTCAAAATCAAATTTGGCCAATTAACATGCCACTTGGTGAGAACCTGAACTGCAAAACCCATTTGCAACTATAGATATTTGTCACCGTAGGTAGCCATAAATTCAATTAAAATTTGGTATTTGGCCATTTTAAGTGGCCAGCTGTCGTTTGAGACATAAAGGTGAGCGTAAAATTGTCAGCCTAAAGAAATTCTGATACTCAATAAGTTTGTGACAAGCTGGCAAAAAGTGATATAAATTCTTGTTTAAAATTCAGAAATGTATGAAATAAAGATTAGAAAATGAGTCATATAGATTTAAGTTTGATATAGATTAATAATATGTGACATTTTATATTTGAAAGAACATTCTGATCGATAAAAATAACGTTAAGAATATTGCAGACAAGTATAAATTATAGTTGCCATTTCTGATTTGTGAAGCTAGCTGTTATCGATAAAAGCATTTAATTAAGCATTATAATATTTATTTTTAACAAGATGTAATATATAAATATATATGTAAAAAATATTGTAATGCCAAGAGTTTTGCTGTTATACTTGAAAAGTGTTTTATATCGATAGCTGTTATTGATAACCGCATACTACTAATTTTGAATTCCTTAGTTAAAAACTCAAAAGTGGATAAGAAAATACTTTAATATACATATACATGCTCTGTCTATTTTACGATATGTCTAAATCATCTTGAGCTTGGCATAAATTGTGAATTAAATTCTATGGCTCCTCTATGTGCTAGTAAGAAAAGGATCACCGCTAATATGCCGTAAATCAAATAAGTTAAATGGTACTTAACTCAACATATACAAAAAAATACATATTTAAATACATATGCAAATATATCTAAAGAAAAAAACCAAAAAAAAAAAAACAGAAATCCAATAAAAGTAATACCAGAGTTTTCAGCTCATATATGTGTAAGTACTTAATGGTTGCCGCACTGGCGCTACCCAGTAAACTAGATTAAAATGCAGTATGCAGTAAAATAGGTCGTAAAGCCCATGAAAAATCATTACATTCAGGACAATTAAAACAATGCCGCTCGACGGACAATGCAAAAACTGACTTTCAGCAAGGGACGCTCTGACCAGAAACAATATCTAGGAACTGCAGGCAGGATCAAAAGCAGAAACTGAACCTGAACCAGAACCAGAGCCAGAGCGTGGGCCATGCAAATGTGAATATTGCAATCGAATTAATCCATTTATAAGCATTTTGTGCACTTCACTGGACGACGTGCTGTGAATGCCGATAACTGCGTGTGTGCGGCTGCCACGCCCAGTTTTGAATGCGGCTTTTATGCATATCAGTTGCATAGCAGGCTGGCTAGCTGGCTGGACAGCACTCAGGCAGGACAACCGGCTGAACAAGAATCGCATTGGTGTCAGCTATTGCTGATGGCCATGACCGAGTCCTGTGGAATTGCATCTGCTTAATAGTGTGCATGTGCGTCCGTGTGTCCATGTGTGTATGGGGTTTGTGCAATATAACCAAATAATCAATTTAACGGAATGGGCATAAGAATGGCAACAGGCTGGCCAGGATTCGTTCTGTGTTAATTTGCTGCTGTGCCCGCAATTTCGTGCCATAAATACACAAAGTTGCTGTCGCCATTGTTGTTGTTATTATTGCTGTTGCTGTTCCTATTGTAATAGGATAAGAGCATCATTGGTAACCCTAGCCAGGGTATTATAGTGTCACTATCTATGTTAATTATAACAGTACGATAAGTATATATCGATAATGAAGCAAATGTAATATCGATAAAGAAAAGCGGCTGCAGAGAAGAAGTGGAAGGCAGTCTCTCTACAGTACTAGCAGTAAGAAGACGTGTTGTTAAAAATAAAAAGGCCACCCGAACATAAGTTAAATCAATAAAGAAAATCATACTATTACAATATCAGAAGTGGGATTAACTCAGAAAAAAAAAAAAAACACAACAAAATGGAAAATATAAATATAAATGACGTGTCAATAGCGACATTGAAAAGTTGGTTGGCATTACTAAATTTGCCAACAGAGGGTACCAAAACTGAGCTGATGGCGAGATTAAATAAGGTACCAGTGGATATCCGAGACGATGCTGCAAAGGAACTTGAAGTTCAACGTAACAAGGAACAGACAATTGAGGCTCAAAATGAGTTGCAAAACATAATGCAACAACAGCGTGACGAAATAGCAAATGGCGCCGAGGTGCTGAAATTGATGCGTCTCGAAATTGAAGCGTCTCGAAAATTCCTAGAAGAATTTCAAGTAACGGTGAACCGCAACTCGCACATCGGCGGGAGCGACGGGGGAGAGCAAGAAAGTGAAGTCGGCGATTTATTGCAGCTAGAGGATGGTCACACTGAAGAAAGACCACGGTCGACGGATGGCAACGCTGGTGCAGCTGATTACACTGGAACGGCTGGCAACGCTGGTGCAGCTGATCACGCTGGTGCAGCGGGCAACGCTGGGGCAGCTGGAAGGATCGACGAAAGTGGCAACGCTGTCGGAGGCAACTTAAATAATTGCATCCAAACTGGAGCGATGATGTTAGCCAAGGAAATTTTATTAGAATTTACTGGAGAAAGTGAGGTGCGTAAATGGGTAATGCAATTCTTCAATGTGGCCAAGATCTACAGACTAAATGATATGCAACAGCACTTGCTTTGTATAAGCAAATTGAAAGGCGGTGCTTTGAAGTGGTTGCATGCAGACCCTATGCGCATCATTGCTCCGATTGACGAGATGCTAAATCAATTGGTTTTGGCCTTCGGGGGAGGATTTTCGAAGTCGGAACTACGACAGAAGTTCGAGGATCGGGTTTGGAAACCAGATGAGGTGTTCGCCACATATTTTAGCGAAAAAAGCATATTGGCACAGGACATCAACATTGATGTAGAGGAGTTAATGGAGGGTATTATTCGAGGCATACCTTGCGAAAACTTGCGCACTCAAGCTAGTATGCATTGCTTTACCAATCCGGCTCAAATTTTACGTGCGTTTGCAGCTATAAAGTTGCCAATTAAACGGGTACGAAACCATGTAGTGAAACAAACTGCACAGGAAGCACAGGCGGACAAACAACAACGTTGCTACAATTGCAATGTTAAGGGCCATTGGGCCAAAGATTGTTTAAAGCCCAAACGGGAGGCAGGATCTTGCTATGCGTGCGGCTCAAAGGATCATTTAATAGCAGGATGTCCAAATAAAAAGTATGATATGGAAAACAAATATGTAAGATACTTAAGAATTCATTTTAGTAACTCATTTAACAAATCAATAATTGCAGAATGCCTTATAGACTCTGGCAGCCCTATTTCATTTTTAAAGGAAAAGTTTGTGCCATTAAAAGTAAAGCGTATGCCAGATGCAAATTCGTATGTAGGTTTAAATGAAAGTAAATTGAAAAATTTTGGAAAAATTTTATGTTATATGAAGAAAAAGTTAATAAATGTTTATTTTAATGTTATAATTGTGGCAAATGAGTCTATGAGGTATGACGCTGTGCTTGGTAGAGATTTTATGGATTCTTTTGGTTTAAATATTGATTTAAGATCATTGAAAATTGTGAACGGGCATAAAGTTGATCACCAGAATAATGGTAAAAATGATATCATAGCTACAAGCTACAAAGAAAAACAAAAAAAAGTGGACGATGAAGATATCAAACACGAGCAAAATGAAACTATATTGTTAAATGATAAAATCGTTAATAAGGAAATAGTCAGTAATGAAACTGTTAGTGATGAATTAGTTAGTGAGAAAACTGTTAGTCCGGAAACGCTTGGTGATAAAGTTGGTAGTGATGAGATAGTTAGAAATAAAATAATTAGTGGTGAAATAGTTAGAAATGAAGTGATTGGGATCGAAACTGTTAGTGATGAGATAGTTAGTTATGGAGAGCTTAAGCTCGAACCTGATAGTGAAGAAGTTGTTAGTGATGAAATTATCTATAATCAAACCGGGATTGAAAAAGTGATTATAGAAGATATAGGAAACAGTGCAGTTAAAATTAATAATCATGTTAATGAAGCGCCAGTGAATAGCGAAATCATGGGAGTGTTAGAAGAGAATTTTGAGAAGGATATCTTAACAATAAGTTGGGAAGATTCTAACAAAAGAGAAAATATATATATTTTAAGTGAAGATATTGATTACAGCACAAAGTGTGAATTTGAAAATTTATTTGAAAATACTTATGTAAAAGCGAAAAGGCCAAATCAGCCAAAATTAAGACATGAGTTAAGCATAAGATTAGAAAACGACAAAGTATTTAATTGTACACCTAGGCGGTTATCTTATATGGAAAAAGAAAAGTTGCAAGAATTATTAGACGACTATTTAAAAGATGGAATCATTAGGCCAAGTTGTTCAGAGTATGCATCACCTATAGTACTAGTGAAGAAAAAAACTGGAGACATGAGGTTATGTATTGATTTTAGAAGACTGAACAAAATTATATGTAGAGACAACTACCCGCTACCATTGATCGACGATTTATTAGACAGACTATGCGGAAAAACAGTATTTTCAAAGTTGGATCTAAAAAACGGGTAT